ATCATTTCTGTCTTCAAGGAGCAAACTTTTTGCATTCTATCTTAGTATTCCAAATGTGCTGAACATTGTGTTTTTGCTAAGTTGCCTCTTGATAAGCTTCCATGTGTACCTTGTAGTGAACTTTCCTTTATGAAGTAGTGCTTTAAATGCCTCCAATGTAGTATGCGCCCGGATGTCTTCGTGTGATATGGTTTTTATGCTCCTTGTCTAAACTTAATTTGATCCCGACAGCACCCAGCTACCCCAACCCGTGTTCGTCCAATCAGTTCGCATGCACCAATGGGGATTGTGTTGATATGGCCAAAAGGTGTGATAGAAACTTTGATTGCATTGACAATTCTGATGAGCTTGGATGTCCTCCTGGCCCAGGTTAGCTGTGTCTTATTTATTATTAGCTTTTGGCTCTTTACCAAAACATCTCTACAAATATTATGTATGAATGCTTATTCTAGCATTTTTATTATTTTTTTTGCACCATACTAAATATGAATATACCACTAAACATGATGTCCATAACAAATTTAAATCCTTTTAGAGCATAAATAAGCATTTGATCAATTTATAAAAAAAATATTTATAAAGAATATTAAAATTATGGCATAACCCAATAATTACTGTGGACATGTCCAATTTACATAACTCACCCATAACTAAAAGAATACTAAAATTTGTGATATACACAATATTGTATATATACCTATAAGATATGGGCTCACCATAGCCCATGCTGCTTGGAACTTTTTGTTCTGAGTAGTTGAAATCTAAAACAACAACCTATAAGACCAGTAATATAGGACTAGAAAGTCCTTTGTAGGTGTACGTTAGAAAAACAAAACGAAAAAACATATGGCATTCTAATGGTTAATATGGTGGGTATATTTTGTACATATTTTGTATATATAAAAAATAGTTACTTTAATTTATTAGTGTCCATAGTGCTTAAAATTTATACCGTTAACATACAGAAATCGGTTACATTTTTTTTAGTGAATATCATTTCTTGAGTGATGAATAAATAACAGAAATCTTACCATGTTTCAACAACACTTTACCCACATAATTGTTTTATCCCAAACATTAAAAACTAGAGCATAATTAATTATTAGGAAAAAGGTGCTTCGTTATAGGTAAACCTATAATGAACCTATAATTTCTACACCGTGAAACTATATAGAGCGTGAAAAGAGTAAACACGGTATCCTAAATAAAAGATGTAGTTGAAAAGTATTGCATTTCATTGTAACATTGCAAATTCTTGAGGGATGTGATGAGCTACGAAATGATTAGTTATAATGTTTGTGTTTAATATCAGAAATACGCTTACAAACATAAAATGTAGATACTTTCTTCATTGGAATTAAATTATTATTGAAAATTTGAAATTCAGTATTGTATTGTGAAAGTTATTAATTTATTAAAAAGATTTTCCTCTTAAAGTTAGTCGCTAAGAGTTGTGTAAATGTTGTTATGGTTTATTAAACACCACAAGCAATGTTCAGTAATTTGAAATGCATAATGCTGCATATTCTTGAATAGTCTTAAATGCTAATAAAAGGTCAGGTTTTGTTATTAAAAGATAAAAGCTTTTAAGTTCCATATAAGAAGCAATACATTGGAACATTACAAATCAGGACATATAAATGACCCAAAATTCTTAAAAAAAAAAAAAAATATAAATTATAAAATACATTGTTGCTGTTTTTTTATATCTAGCAAATATTCCATGTTTATCTGATGTTAGAATAATTCCTATAATATTCATTATTTATTAGTAATGTAATAATGTCTAGTCATTAGTAAACACATTATTAGTAATGTCAAGTCAACATCAATGGTATTAGACAACAACCCACAAGCCTGCAAATAAAATAAAATAAAAAGATTTGGCAATGTTGCGGTCCATCCTGGACCGCAATCCAGGCTCAATCTAATGGTCCGGTTACCATCAGTAATATTGATCCACTGTCGAAAACAGTTTAATGTCGGTTAACTTAAATAATATTGCTTAAATTTGAGACATCTAGAAACTAAAAAATTTGCAAATCCAGATATTACATGGTTCCACCAGAGCAGATAAAATAAAATGGAAAGAATATTTGTTACATCACAGGCGTTCATGGAGAAATTCAAGTTGTTCAAAGGAAGTACAGTACTCTTTAGTGATAATAACAAAAGCTGTGAGCATTGGTAAGTTTACCTTTAACAGAAGTAAAGTATAAGTACTGTACTCAGTAATGATGATATTTTGAATTAATTAATTACAGGAAATTTTCAAATAAAAAATGTTATCCATAGAAATGACTTACAGTATTCTCTATAATAGTCCACATCAATATGCAGTGCGTGAAATTCATTGCCAATTTAAAATCTGAGCATTTAAAAGGTTCAATAAAAATATTATTTTAATCACAAAGTTTAAAAAGCAAGTAATATAATTATTGTAATGATAAGCTTTGCCACCATAACCTTCGTATTTTATGGGGGTTTTCATGTTTTATGCTTGTTAATAAATGTATTAAAACATTGTTTCCTAATATGGATTAACACAAGTAGAATTTGTAGTCATTGCCATCTTACTAAAATCTGCTAACATTGGTGTACTACTAATAAACAATAAATAAGACACTTAAATTAAATACAAAGTATTTTAAATATACGTATATATATATATATATATATATATATATATATATATATATATATATATATATATATATATATATATATATATATATATAATATATATATTACACATAATTCTTTATCATAATATATTACAGTATATTAATTATGATAAAAAATTTAAAGATTACATAATCAAAAGATAATCTAGCATGTTAAAGTTGTAAGAAGTATGTGCGTGCATATGTGTTTATTTTACATGCATGTTTTTGTTTGTGTGTATTTACTTAAATGTGCTTGTCTGATTGTGTTTGCAGGGAGTTAATAACTAGTTTATAAGATCCTACATTTCTTCATTAAAACATTAGGAATTTTAATTTATTCCTCAAAAATAAAGAGTAATGGAGATAAAACTATAAAAACGTAAGAATTGCCATTTAAACTAAAGGTTCAGTATATGAAAAAATAGGATTAGTTTCCAGAAGCCTCCAAGATCTACGTTTTTCTTTTCTTTTTTCCTGAACAGAATGTCTATTTATACATTAATTTACTACTCTAAGTTTCCTCTACGTTCCAGCAATAAATTCAGTTCAAAATGATATCCAGAATGCTTAATTGGGATGTGCAGTGATGCATAAATATAACCAAAAATGTTAATGAAATATAAAAATATTGGGAGCCCAATTTATTGCTGAAACTGCTGTAGCCCAAAGAATTGGCACACATTATCCATTCTCAACTCTTATTGTTTATAAATTATCTTTCTGCACACTTCGAAAATTAGTATAAATGTGTTTAACTGTGTTATTCCAAATCTGCATTATCTAATTCCCGCACAGTTTGTTGATGGCCTGTATACATTTGACTCATGACTGCATTCCAAGATATCTCGCAATTAAGTGGTTACCCATAATATTTGTTTAAATAGAATCTCAAATGTATATGCAAGAAACCAATTAGATTTCTTTTATTGGGTATGACCAATGTGTGTGTGAGAGTTGCTGCCTAATAACTCAGACTTCATGGATAATGGTGGTTAGTCCTAATTAACTGGACATGCTCAGATTATTGGGGTTGGAGAATCGGGAATTTCATGTATCCAGACAATTCAGAAATCTGGAAATGGGGATCCAAATAACTGGATTTCCACTTTTCTATATTTATGGTACAGTAATAAAAATTGAGCTTCACTTTTCCACTCAAAATTTAAACCATAGATACAAACTTTTTGAAGGAAGGCTCACTGACTTTACAACATCCATAACTGATACTAGTACTGTACTGTACTTTAAAATAAGATTTCTGAGATATCCCCCTCTGGACAGTGCTCTAAGGCAAGAGCTTCTTCATCTCTAGTTAAGCTCTGCTAAGATCAAGGCAGAAAGTGAACAGAGAAAAAGACCTGGTAGTGGACATAATTCTCTCACTTTATGAATAGGAAACTAAGGAAACAAAGGTGCAAAAAAATTTCAGAAGGCTTTATTTTGCAAACAGAATGGTAGTTGGCTGGAACCAGTTAAGTGAGGTGGTGGTGAAGGCCAAAACCATCAGTAGTTTCAAAGCGTTTACGACAAAGAGTACTGGGAAGACAGGACACCACGAGCATAGCTCTCATCCTGTAACTACACTTAGGTAATTACACTTATGTAATTACCTGTACATAGTAAGAGCTCTAGGGGTGGCTCTAGATAGTCAAGTGTCACCAGAGGACCACATAAAGAACATTGTGCGAGGAGCATGTACTATGCTTTCCAACTTCAAAAACACTTTTAAATACATGGATGGTGAGAAAATGTTCACGGTCTTTGTGAGACCAAAATTTGAATATGCTGTAGTTGATTAATGATTCTATCTCAAGAAGCACATAAATAAACTGGAAACGTTGCAAAGTCATGCTATGAAATGGCTTCTGGAACTGAAAAACAAGAGCTACAAAGAGAGGCTAGAGATGTTAAATTTGCCAGAGCTCAAAGGTAGAATAAAAAGAGGCAATACGAGTGCTACACACAAAGTAGACATGAATTGACAAAATTGACAGAGGTGTTCTTGAAACCTACAACTTAAAGAACAAGAGGTCATAGACTCAAGCTAAGGAAACAAAAGACATAGAAAACATATTAGAATGTTCTCTTTTGCAAACAGAGTGGTAGATGGTCGAAGTGGTAGTTAAGTGAGGAGGCGGTGGATGCTAAAACTATCAGTAGTTTCAAATCGTCATATGACAAAGAGTACTTAGAAAACGGGACGCTCTCGTCCTGTAACTACACTTAGGTGATTGCAAAACTAGGCTAACAAAATGCAAATGTTTACAACAACACTGGTATAAGAGTTAAGTTTTGAGGACAGGTTAAGGGAACTGAATCTCAAAACATGTTTGGAGAGAAGGAACAAAAGGGATCAACATATACAAAATATTGACAGTAATAGGAAAGCCACTTGTGAATGAGAGAAAGGAGTACAATAGATTATAAGGGGAAGCTAGAAATCAAAATGTGTCAGATAAATGTAGTACTCATATCCTGTATGTTGGTCAACAAGTGGAATGTGCTGAATGCAGTAGTCACGGAAACCATCTCTATCCACAACTGTGTGCCTAGATACAATAAAGCATTCAAACATCAGGAAAGTTATTCCTGCTCTTCCTCCCTTTTCAGCCTCCTCCCTCACCCTTTCCTTTCTTCTGTATTTATTATGCTCTCAAATCATTATACTTGAATTCTTTATCACACTACTGTATAATCATTACACAGCTCGGTTCATATCATGAAATATCATGACCTAGGCATATCTTTCTCTGTCCATCCACGTATGATTGATACTTGCCTAGTTGAAAAAAACATTTTTTTTTTTATAATTTGATCTCATAGCCTGAAATTTGTCATAACTTGTAAGACTTTTATATTTATAAATTTTAAATATTGGAATTTAAATATTAATTAGCATTCAGTGTGTTAATTTCACTTGACATTTCAATTCATTTTTACTGTATAATTAGATAAATTATTTTCGTATTAGGATATATATGTTTGTAAGAAATACTGTCATATATTTGTATGAATAAAACCTGCTTGATTCCAGTGTTAGTGTGTGATTGGTAATGTGTATATTAAATAAAACCTAGATATACATTTTTTTATATTTTCTGGCTAAACAGTATTTGGCATAGTATATCTGCAGGTTTTTATCAGCTTATAGTATTATATATGCTAGGGACCTAGAATAACCAAAAATATATTTTGACATCAGTATAACATTCAAATATTTTTATTATTGCTGTATTATTTACTATTAAATTTCAGTGAAGCATTGTTAAAGTTTCTGGTATAGACCTATTTTTTTATGAATATTCTAATACATTAATGTAATTTCTTCCCTTGACAATAATTTTTAAGAGATATAAAAATAGATGATTAAAAAATTATGAAATTTCAACTGAAACCAGGTCATTATAGTTTAGTGTTTGACTTAGATATTTCATCAAACTGTGTGTTTATGTGCAACACGAATAGAAGAGAACGTGTCAATGACAGAGAATATTTTTCATTTATTCAAAATGTTTTGTGTATTAGTGTGAAATCAGTATTTGTCACTAATGTTGTGTCCCTCTTAGATCGTGAAACGTGTAGAGACAACGAATTCAGGTGCTCAGATGGTGCTTGCATAGAAATGAATTGGCGATGTGACAGTGTCCCTGACTGCAGTGATGCGTCCGACGAAAATGATTGTAGTATGTTGTAGTTGTTGTCAATAGTCATCTTGATATCTCCATTTATTTACAGAAGAGGTGTCTTTATTTGAATATGTATTCCTCCTTATTAATTTAGGAGGTTTAGTCAGAGATCAAGCCTAATTGGTGAAATGATTGAGAGAACAAGAAGTTACTCTACACTGTATTTATGCTCTTTTGAGTTTGGAATTTTCTCTATTTAAAATTGAGATATCAAATGGCAAATGTCCTGTAGTCTATAGTGCTTAACTTGATTTATTTTGTCAGTTTTATTTGTTTCTTAGACATATGTATATGCTTCCTTTGAGTGTTGACTACCTTAAATTCTCCTTGTACTCACTTTAACTCACTACCAGGTATACACACACACTTACACACACACACACACACACACACACACACACACACACATGCACGCACGCGCGTGCCTTGCAAATTGATATAGGTAAAATAAGTGCTTAGAGCACCATGTGGCAAAGGGAATCCAATGTGAATAAATGCCATGTTATGGAATGTGGAATTGGAGAAAATAAACCACACACAACTTAATTTAACACTTTGTCACAGGGATGACAAAGTATGGTGTCAAAAATTTATTAGACAAATGTGCGTTAATGACGCTTTGAAAATTTAAAAATTTTGGCCTGCTTTCGGCTTGGCTGTGGGTGGGGCGCGATGTGGTTTTGGACATTATATGCATATACTTCTGTAGAGAATTCTATTGCGAACATGTTGATACTAAAATGAAAGCCCTAGGACGAGAATTGAGGTGCCCAGAGTGAAAAAGAGTATACACATTTTATTGCCCTTGTGCGCTTATGGGTAATGCACGGCCCACCTTGGGGTGGTCTGGCGTTCTCTCGCCCAGAGTATGAAAGTATAAAAAATTAATATATATGGAAAGGCATTAAAGAACTAATAACAAGACCTAGTGGTGGCTTTGGATATTAGACTGTTACCAGAGGAGCACAGAAAGATAATTATGAGAGGCGCATATTTGTTGCATTCCAACTTCAGAATTGCTTTTAATTATGTGGATGGTGAAATATCAAGAAACTTTTCATGACTTTGTGAGACCAAAATTGGAGCATGTAGTTCATTGTATGGTGCTTATGTCTCAGGAAGAACTTCAATAAACTAGAAAAGATGCAAAGACATGCTACAAAATGACTTCCAGAACAGAAAAACAAGAGTTACGAAGAGAGGCTGGAGTAAGCATACCAAACTAGAGGCTGGAGTAAACATGCCAAACTAGAAGATAGAAGAAAAAGAGGTGATATGGTCACCAATTTCAAAATAATAACAGGAATTGACCAAATTAACAAAGAATTCCTTACTCCAACAAAGTCATAAACAAGAGGCCCTAGATTCAAGCTAAGGAAACAAAGGTGCTCAAAAAATATTAGAGAGTTTTCTTTTGTAAACAGAGTAGCAGATGGAACAAGTGAAGTGAGAAGGTGGTGGAGGTCAAAACAGTCTGTCGTTTCAAAGCATCATATGACAGAGTATTACGAAAACAGGACACCACAAGCATAGCTCTTAACTCACTCCAGTAATTAGATACATGCCATACAATTGATAAGCATGCCCAAAGTGACATGGAAAGATAGGAAATGCAAGTAAGAATATTGTATAGACACAAGACTGAGAACACAATGCCAATTTAGCCCTATTGCTTTGGCACTTTAATTTTGGCCTCATACTTTTCTTGAGTATGAGATTAAAATGTGGCATGTATAATTGTGGCTTATATAATTAATCTATTCTGTTTTAGCCAAACACGGTTTGGCTAAAAAACAACAAAAACCCAGCGTTGAATGTAATGAAACGCCATTTTCTGGATGAACCCCAGAGGCTCCCTGGAGCTTATCGGGCTAATGTATGTTATATTAGACTGGGACATTATCTAAGGAGTTCAGTCCTACCAGGGACCAGCACCAGAACCTGGCCCCTTCAGATAGGTTTCAGTGAGCAATGGCCTTGGAAAACCTTCTTCTCTTTTTCAGGGTTATCAACTCCATACTTGTCCTACAGCGTTAAATTTGGTATCACTGAGATTGCAATAAAATTCCCTGTGTACATAAGCATATAAATGTAGAATCATGATCGCAGCCCACCTGCAAGAGTGTGGGAAGTGGTCGAAGTGTTACCCGTTACCACACACCTGACGGCACATCGGCGAGACCCCTATTGAAAAGTGTATACTCCTTTCACTGTTCTGACCATAATTTTCGATGTACGTATTTCATTTTTGTAGCAATGTGTTCGCAATAGAATGTTCTAGAAGAACATAAGTATAAAATGTCACACAAGAATGCGTTAGACCAGCACCAAATATTGAAGCTACATCGATCACTAGCCGTAAGCACCAAACAGCCACAAAGTGTTTCTACTCTTTTCAGGGTTGTCAACTCCACACTTGTCCTACAGTGTTAAATTTGGTATCGGTGAGATCGCAATAAAATTCCCTACACAGACATATGCATATAAATGTAAAATCATGGTTGCGGCCCACCCGCAAGATTGTGGGAAGTGGCCGAACTGTTACCCGTTACTGCACACCCGACGGCACATCGGCGAGACCCCTATTGAAAAGTGTGTACTCTTTTCACTGTTCTGACCTAATTTTCATTGTATTTCATTTTTGTAGTAATCTGTTTGCAGTAGAATGTTCTAGAAGAACATAAATACATAATATCACGCAATGATGAGTTTGACCGGCACCAAATAAAAAACTACGTTGATCACTAGCCATGAGTGCCAAACAGCGACGAAATGTTTCTACTCTATTCAGGTTTGTCAAGTTTAGACTTGTTGTACACCATTTTTATTTGGGGAGAACGGGAATTTCATGGCGTGTATTTTGAAACTATTCCCAAGTCGATCAGATAAAAAATGGATTTTATAGAAATATTTTTTCTCGTGACTTGTGAGCGAGTCAGTTACGCGAACTCAAGAGAAAAATTGGTGCCGCTCTAGAGCGGCACGAATGCGCGAAACTGTTAAGTCTAGCCAGCCTGCAGTCTATCCTTGCGCCCATGACCTTCAGAAGTTTGCACCTTTGGCTACTGTGTTTGGTAACATGTCTTTGTTCTGGCTGGATCCCAATGTACAGTCTGTACTACTATCATTAATAGAAGCTTCACGAGCCAACCCGTTCTCATACAAAGAACGTCACGTTTTGCTCGTGTGCATTGCATAAGGACAGAAAATGTCATACTAGAAAAATGGAAGCGACTTGCGAAAGTGATGTTCTGTCCTGTTCAAAGTTTTGGGTCCTCTGATAGGTTAGGAGAGGACACTTTAATTTGACCATTTTCTTTACGTTGGGAAACCTTGGGAGGATGGGCTACACAAGCAAGGTAGGTGTCGAAGTCAAGGTATTTCATGCACTGGAAAATCCATCTGATGTATTTTTATAAAGAACTTCACTTTATTACATATTCATTGTTAATCAAATTATTGTAGGTAATGATTTTAAACAATATTTTTATGAATATTCAATTATGCATTGTAGTACTGCACTGTCTTGTTTGTATTGAGAAATGCAGGCAAAGAAGATACCAATGTAATCTACTTTGGGTAAACTATATTTAGTATTTGTGAAGAGTATTATCATTAGTTATTTTTCTCTAGTTTATTTTGTAGTACCTATTATGCTTCTTTCTGTACAGAGTCCCTTTGGCTCCTCGGAGCCATACTGGGCTGATGTGTATATATTAGACTGCGGCAACAGTTCAACAGGACCAGAACCTGGTCCTCTCAGAGAGGCATGAGGAGCAATGGCCTATAACCCCCCCCCCCCTGTAGTTGGAAGCAGTCTATGTCTGCCATTTACCAGGTCAGTCACCCAGAAAGGTAGGAATCCCAAAGAAACTACAGCTGGTTAAAAATTGCAAACTGAAAGCCGAACGAGCAAGCAGAACTCTCCAATCAGAAAACAATCAGGCATGACTTCACCACAGCCACCGTGCCACTGTCTGCACAACTGTCTCCTCCACAAAGTAGTGGGGGAAGTGGGCCTGAAGTTCACCCAGACCTCCCACGCCAGCTACCCAACCCCAGTTCTGAGGCTGTTGTGTTGAGTGGCAGTTGATCGACTCTGGCTACATCCTTTGAGCAGTGCTGTGCCTTACGTTGTTATTCTGATGTGTGTTGGTGTGTGACCCAGGTGTAATTCAAAAAGTACTGGGGCCTGCATGTGCCTAGGGTCATTTTCCCTATGTGACCTATAAGTACTGCCCTTGCAGTTTGGGGTTACCTTCCACAAACTGTTCTGGGATCTGATTGCCCGCCTCGGGGTCAGCTGGGGTTTTTCCTACCTCTGTTTGGCATTGGGTAGGAGGTAGTATCATCTCTAGCTGGGGTGCAAGGTACTGTGCAGCCATCTTATAATATGCATAGCAGCCAATTCTGTTCCTCCTGGAGACATTGTCCTTTTGCAGGGTGTTTCTTTTGTTTTGTTTTGCCTGGTGTGGCTGTAGGACCACTTATAATTTTTGGTGACCCTCTGCTAAGTCCCTGTGAGTGTACACATCACAGGGGGCTCAGCTTTTGTTTCTTCTGGTAGTTCTGGGATAACTGGTTAGCAGTGCCTTGCCTGGGCTTCCTTTAGTAGTCAGCCTAAGGGGCCTGGAAAACCCCATTAAGGCTCATTGGTCCAGTGTATGCATCCTTTGAGTCTCATCACACTTTGTGAAAGTTTGAAGGCTGCTCTGTCGCCTTGTTTCAGGGTAACGCTCACCGTCTTTGCCTCCGCCATGCTGCCTTTTGGGTCAATGCCTTTGACCCAAAAGGACTGGCGGAAGTCCCTTCTGCCTCTCCCGCGATCGCTGGGTTCGACCCCAGGGGGCCTTACGTCAGCTGCTGCGTCGCTGGCTTCCTCTAAGGGTTTTTCGGTGTTCAGAACCTTGGCGCCTACCTGAGCTCTTGTTCGATGTGTTCACAGACGTGTCGTCTCTTGGCTGGGGCTTTGTGACCAGTGCTCACCAGGTTGGCCAGGGGCGCTGGGGTCCATCCTTCTGTCAGGCCCATAGCATGCTGCCGAAATTCACGGCGGTTTGGCTTGAGCTTTGGAGGGTTCGGGTCACTTGTGGATCGATGATCCGGCTCCGTTTGGACTGCACCCCAGTGGATTATTATTACTTCTGCACCATTTCGCAAGCAGTCTCATGCGTTGTTTCACCTCTGGCCTGCTCATGTATCGCCTGAGCCATTCTGGTCTTTGGACAGAGTGCTCTTTTATCTCTTTTCTCCTCGGAGAAGAGAGATAGGAGAGCACTCTTCATTGTTGTGGCCCCTTCGGTTCAGGATTGTCTCTCTAAGGCTCTTGTCCTGTTGGCATTGGCCTCTGGGGGTTGGGTTGCGGAGCTTCATGCTCTTTGGCGCAAGGGGTTTCTGCTCTTTTGGTCATGGTGACAGGTTCATATGTTTCCAGCCGTCTCCGTCTTTTCTGGAGAAGAACGAGACTGCTGCTTTCCGGAGAGGTCCCTGGGTTGTTGATGCTTGGTTGGTCAGGCTGGGGGTGCATCATGTGTTGTATCCGGCTACAACCCTCTGCCGTTATTTGCGCACCATGGCTTCTGTGTCTGGGGATGCGCTTTGGGTTGATCCAGTTTCCCTTCTTCCCTGTTCGTGGGTACGGGTCTCGGGCCGTCCACAGGGTTATTAAGTCTAGCCAGCCTGTGGTCTATTCCCGTGCCCATGATGATCATAAGTTTGCTGCTCTTGCTGCCATCTTTGGTAACATGTCCTGGATTGACATTCGAGTGCAGGATTTTTGGCGGTCGAACAAGATCCACGCTACCTCTTTATTGTTCCTGGGCCTAGTCGGGCCTGTGTCGCTTCGGGTCAGCAGTTGCAGTCAGTTGTCTCGACTTCGAGTTAAGATGTGAGCACCAACTGCCTCCCAGGTAAGTTCCCTTTCTTTCCTTTTGTCTTTGGTGAAGTAGCTCTGGGGAACTGAAGGGCTCCCCCAGAAAACCAGCGTTGAATGTAAAGAAACGCCATTTTCTGGGTTAGTTCTGGAGGCTTCCTGGCAACCCTCCCTCCCTTCAATCTGCAGTTTTTGCATCTTTTGACATCCTGCCTCAAAACTAGGGTGTGGATCACCCCAGTTTTGGGGGTGGAGTCCCTCTTTTGCTTTATCTGTTGTTAGGTAGCTCCGTAGAGCCGAAGGGGCTCTCCACAGAAAACTAGCGTTGAATGTAATGAAACTCCATTTTCTGGGTGAGACCCAGAGGCTTCCTGGCATCTCTACTTCCCTCCGGTCGGCAGTTAATCGTGTTTTTTTATGTTCTGCCTCTTAATTAATAACTGGGGTTGGGTTGCCGGCACAGGAGGTCTGGGACCCACCCTCCAAGGGAGGAGTTGAGCAGACTGCCGCACGGCGACTGTGGTGATGTTATGCTTGTTTTCCGATTGTGAAGTTCTGCTTGCTCATTTGACTTTGGGTCAAAAATTAAAATGTTTAACTGGTAAAAGCTGGTTTAGCAGGTTAACACTCTCGCACCCTGGGCATGAGCTCCATTTGTATGCACAAACTATTCCTGGCGGTGCGATGAGCGTGCTGGCGAGCGTGTGGCGACACCGAAATGTGTATGCTCGTTTCAGTTTTCTCACTTTAATTCTCGTACTACGTCGTTCGTTTTGGTATCATTGTGTTCGCAATAGAATTCCCTACAGGTGTATATGTATATAATGTCCAAATGCCTGGCGTGACTCCCCACACCAAAGCCTAAAGTCAGCAAAAGTTACACGTAAGTGCACAAAATCAGTAAAATGTGTATTCTCGTTTCAGTTTTCTCACCTTAATTCTCATGCTACGTCATTTTTTTTGGTATCATTGTGTTCGAAATTAAATTCCCTGCAGGTGTATATGCATATATTGTCCAAAAACCCGTTGTGACTCCCTCATAGCAAAGCCTAAAATTACCCGTGAACGAGCACCAATTGGCATACCCGCAACCTAATGTGTTTGTGTTCAGTTTGATAACATTAATTTTCATGTTACGTCGCTGGTTTTGGTATCAAATTGTTCGCAATATAAAGGCTCGTATCTTAAAACTAGAGCCATAATAATAGAGCAATAAATGGAATTTAAACAAATATTTAAAAATTTTGGTCGCACATCATTACAAAAATATTTATATCTTTCCAGTGTTCTGACTCAATTTTCGTGTTACATCTTTCATTTGGTATCAAATTGTTCGCAATCTAAAGGCACACATTATAAAACTACTCCCATAATAATAGCGCAATAAATAGAATTTTAACAAATATTTAAAAATTTGGACTAAAAACGTATTTATAATCTTTCCATTGTTGTGACTTAAATTTTCGTGTTATGTCTTTCATTTGGGTATCAAATTGTGCGCACTCTAAAGGCGCACATTTCAAAACCACTTGCAGATTGATCGGATAAAGTTTAAATTTTTAACAAATATTTTAAAATATGGCCGCCACTCACTTCACCGACTCGGACTTAACAGAAAAACGGTTGACGCCAGGCGAATTAGAAGAGTGCGAAAGTGTTAAAAAGTTTGCAATTTTTAACCAGCTGCAGTTTTTGTGATTCCTACCTCTCTGGGTGCCTGACCTGGTAGATGGCAAACATAGACTGCTTCCAACTACATAGGGGTGTCTATTGACCATTGCTCCTCGAGCCTGTCTGAGGGGGGCCAGGTTCTGTCTCGTGGTCCTTGGTAGGCTGGAACTCCATTGATTGACTGTTGCCACTGTCTAATATATACACATCAGCCTGGTATAACTCCTGGGAGGCTCCAGGTCTCTCCCAGAAAATGGAGTTTCATTACATTCAACACTAATTTTTTACCCATTTAGGTTGTAAAAGTACCGAGTTCCGATGTGGGGATGGATCATGCATCCTGGAATCCAACAGATGTGATGGAACTTATGACTGTTCTGATGGTTCTGATGAACGAACTAATTGTGGTAATTTTTTTAGATTTTTGTTGAAAGAATATATGGATTTTCAAAGATTGCTTTGTTTATAAAGGATTTAAAGGTGTATCTGTTTTTCTTCTTATTTATATATGTGACTTTACTATCCAATGTATTCTTTGGTAGTACATTACTACCTACTATATTGCATTATTTCATCTATTGTTCACAGTGTATATGCAGTACTTGCAATGAGGTCACAATTCATCTAAAATGTTGACTTCAGTCAACCATGAAAGACTCATAGGATAGAGAGAAAAATTTATATCCTCAAGTGTTAAGTCCTCACTTGTTAATATACAACATATAGCCATCTTATTCCTTATATTTTTACCTTGTGAATAGTACCTTCACTTATGAGTGTTAAGCATAGTCCCAACTGTCTTGAAAATAATACAAATAGGTGCTACTGTATTACCAACAGAAGAGTTAAACTTCTTTGCTCTTTCCATCCCACTAGACATGATTATTACTCTCACAACCTTATTATTATTATTAATATAATTATTCATTAAGGATATCACCTCTGGTGCATTTGTAAAGACCCATAGCCTAGAAAACATGCCATTTAACTCTAAATTCATATGAGTATTCATTTCTCCTACCATGCCTTGTTTCATTATTTAAATTGTACACTTTATTATACAAGGTTACACAGTTACTTATCTGATTAGTTACAAAAGGTGGACATTGAGAGGAAATAGAGAAGTTTGTTTCCTAGAGGCTGTAGATTTCTTCGAACTCCTCCGATGTCCGGCAGGAAACGAGGATTCAGCGGGCATTTCCCCTCTGGATCGCTATACTGAGGTTCTGGAAGAGAAAACTTGTCTCTCTAGGGTCTCTTGTAGTTTCAATGAGCCTGGAACCAAGATCCTTAAGAAACTTCCTTACACTCTCTTTCCATGGAGCAAGGGTCTCGGATCATATTGGAATGAAGTTCTACTGGTGATCTGTTTCCCTGTACTTGGTTGACTTGTCTCTTTCTCTGTGTTTCACCGTGGCTTCTGCTTAGCCAACAGAAAGATTGATGTATGTGGCTGCCAAAGTGGATACACAAGTATAGTCTCGTAGTCACAAGTATGCCAATTGTCTGCCATTTTTCCAAGGGCTCATTGTGATTCCATCTCGTCGGCAAGCAAAGCTAACAAAGTTACGGTTCAATAGATTGCGGAGCGCTCTCTCTGCTGGACACTGGGCAGAGGCAAGGTTACTAATGATGTTATTGACTTAGTAGTGTCATGAGTGCCAACCGCCTGATTTTCCATAGTGTAGGCCATGCAGGCCTGTTTGCTCTTCTTGTTCCCTTGCCTTTTGTCCCTCTGCTTTCAGTCCAATCTGGCTGTTTTAACCTGGGGTTCTGTCTGGGTAATGTGTTCTGCATTTCTTTGATGCATTTCCGCCAGCAGATGTGGTGATTAGGCCCCACACCACCCCTACACCACCCCTACACCACCCCCACACCACCCCCACACCACCCCCACACCACCCTCAGGTTCGTTTCTGGGTTTCTGTGGGCTATTAGTTTTCGTTCCTGAGGTTTCTTCCTCTGGAGTTTCCCTTGGGGGGTTCATGAGGCTCTTGGTGGTTATCTCCTGTGCGCCCCAGTCTGACCTCTTCTGGGGTTCCAGGGTCTTCGTGGCCTGCAGACTGCGCTTCATCCGCTTCTGCTTGTCGAGGTGGGCCTTTGGTGCAGCTTTTGTGCTGGTGCCTCCTCCAGGGTTGATTTCGGTTGTCGGCTATTTGCTTTTGTTTTCTTATTATTTCATTCATTTTCTTTCCAAATTTTTTTTCTCGGAGGGGGCACACAGGTCTGTTTGTGGGTTGCCCTGTTGGCGGGGTGTTGGGATTGTGTCTGGCTCTGTTTGTCCACACTTGGTCCTGCGATACGTGGGTGGTTCAGGTCGTGTCCTCTGGCCTGTGGTGGCGTTGGACGATGGCTTCTCCTCATGGGGGGTTCGGAGCTGGGGGGCAGGGTTCTTTCCCTTTGTTCTGTTGGGTCGTCTTTTTCCAGTCCAGCACCGGGACAGTGCGATTCTTTGGTTCTTTCTGGTTTTGTATGGTCTGTTCTGCTGGCTTCTTCTTGATGCTTCTGTTCCGCTTTCAGCTTTTGGCACCTTGCATTTTCCGCAATTTGCCCGGCTCGTTGTGACCCATCTGCCATCTGCCCATCGGGCTTGTCTCCTTGAGTGACTCGTCTGCTGGATTCTCTGGGTTTAGCTCTCTGTGTGGTTCATGTCCGAAGGGGTGTCCAACATCCTGGTGGACTGCCTGTCTCGGTTTATTCCCCTGTCCATGTAATGGACGGTCAACGCCAACTCGTTCAGTTGGCTCTGCCGGACATATAGTCTCCCAGATGTAGACCTCTTCACGTCAGTGTGATCCCTGCATCTTCTTGTGTATGTAGTGCCAATGCTCGACTGCGAGGTTGTCGCGGAGGACGCCTTTCAGCAGAACTGGTTGAGGTGGGGTTACCTATACCTTTCCCCTGATCCAGCTGTTACTTCAGGTCCTGGCCTGTTTGGAGACTTTCCTGGGAAGAGTAGTCCTGTTGGCCCCTTGGTGACCGGCCCACTCATGGTTTCAGGCGCTGCTTGCTCGGTATCTGAACCCGCGACGTTTTCCGCGGCTTCGCCTCTTCCAGCAGATCCGATCTTCTCCTTCGATCTTCATTGACTTCTGCCTGGTCTTCTGATTGGGTTTATCACCATTTACATGGTAATCAATTGGCTTTGTTGATGGTGTTCCACCTGAGAGCTTCTTCTTGGCAACAGTATGCAGTTTCCTGGCACTCTTTCCACCATCTTCTCTCCTTTTGTAGGTTGCCCTCTCTTTTGGATCGGAATGTTTTGTTTTTTCTTTCTTGGTTTTTTCCAGGACTGTCTTGATGCCGAATACTGTCGCCTCGTATCTAGCAGCACTGGTGGAGCCACTTCTGCTTGCGTTCGGGGTGGCTGTTACCTGTACTTCAGCTCCATTCTGCAAATTTTCTTGTTTCACCTCTGACCTGCTCATGCACCGCTTGAGCTGTCCTGGTCTTTGGACCGGGTACTCTCTTTTCTCCTTGGTTTGTGGTGGCCCCTTCAGTTCAGGATTGTTTTTCTAAGGCTCTTTTTCTGGGGGGAGCCCCGTCAGCTCCCTGGAGCTTGCTAGGCTTATATGCTAATGTCAGACTTTGACATCAGTCATGTGTATCGAGTGCTGTGGGCCTACCGGGGACCACGAGCCAGAACCTGGCCCCCCCCTCAATGAGGCATGGGGAGCAATGGTCTATAGAAACCCCCTGTGTGGTTGGAAGCATTCTATGTCTGTCATTGACCGGGTCTGGCACCCAGAAAGGTAAGCATTCCAAAACAAACCCCTATTCTGGTGCTACCAAATGCTGAACAAGTGGATAGACCTTCCCTAAAAGAAAAGTGCAAACGACCATTCTCGACGAGCAAACTAAACAAACAAACAAACCCTCCCCGTGTGTTACACGGGGAGGGTTTCTCTACTTATCTTCCACTCTTCTTCCTCTCTACCCGTATTCTTACTTTTTATTCTCTACAAGGGACTCCAAAACTTTTACTAAAGCCGACTCCACGCCACGTGGTCCTAAGACGATTGACCGACTTAGGATTCTACAACCAGTATGACGTGACCTAGGCTTTGAGCAAAACCCTAGAGTCGCCTCCGCTGCCACCACCAGACCAGTAACACAGAGCAATGATCGAGGTCTGGATCGATCATGCTAATAAATCAACCTTGGGGCTTGATCCCCACTATAACCGATGACCTTGAGAGTTCTGAAGTGTGGAATTAATTACACGGTAAAGATGACTTCCGATATGGTGTTAGAATCGGCGCCCAATCCAACTCTGCCTCGTGTGGACCACGTGACCAGGACAAGTTCACATACTGTACATATAACAAATACATGGAAATAATAAAAATGCAAAATATTAACTAATTAATTTATTAAAAGACAACTAAAACAAGATCTAAATATGTTCACTCCCTGTCACTTTAACACTCCCTACTTGACCTGAACGGCAATGAGTTGACTATCCCTATAAATAACAATAGCAACTATACCTCTATGTTTCTACCAGCTAAAGATGTTGGGCTGGTCTTGGGGGAGAGGTGAGATGGGTTGACCTCCCCCAGTTGATCTGGAGTCCACACTGATCTCTCCTCGTCTGGTCTACCCCAGACTAGAGCATTGTATCCTTCTGCATAGTCTAAGTTTTACCAAGTTACTAGCAAGGTTTAAGTTATAACAATTAACCTCTGTTGTACTTAATTGATCCAGACTGGTTGAATTATTTTACTGAAGTTAAATTACACAAGCCTCTAACAGCAGAGCTGTTCCCGATCACAAAAATGGTTATTTGAACTTTGAGAAAATAGTGGACATCGTCAACTCTGATGACCTATGACCGCCAGGTCACTCCGCCTTACAACTTAGATCTGATTCGTGATGTCACTGATGGTGACTCAACTCAATAATTAGAATACGCTTGATATTGTACCCAGTAATATTATACAATACAATTTTAATACAAAATGAATAAAGGCTAATTTCTCTTAACTTACTGAATACTATAGGATGATTCATTATACGCAGCTATGAACAAGGCGTCGATTATTTTCACCGCGAATTCCCCTGGGGTCAGGTCCCGGGTCACCACGAGGCCCAGCTTCCCATTCTCTTTTGTCGATAAACCACTCTGGATAATTCTTACAACCAGCCTAGTTTGTTACAGCTGGTTTTTTCCTGTTGACATTGGCTTCAGGTGGTCGGGTCGGGGAGCTTGACATTGGCTTCAGGTGGTCGGGTCGGGGAGCTTTATGCTCCTCTTTTCCGGCGCAGAGGTTTCTGCACTTTCTGTCCTGGCAGTAGTTTTATTTGTTTGTAGCCATCTCCTCCTTTTCTGCCTAAGAATGAGTCGGCAGCATTCTTAAGGGGTCCTTGGGTTGTTGATGCTTGGTTGGTCAGGCCGGGGGGTGCATCTTGTGTTGTGTCCAGTTGCTGCTCTTCACCATTTTCTGCACACCAAGGCCTCTGTGGCCAACGATGCGCTTTGGGTTGACCCGGTTTCCCTCGTTTCCTATTCCAGGGCTCGCGTCTCCCAGGTCATCCAGCCAGCCTATGGTCTATACTCATGCCCATGACGTTCCTAAGTTTGCTGCTTTGGCTGCTGTCTTGGGTAATATGTCTTGGGCTGACATTTGGGCACAGGGATTTTGGAGGTCGAACAGGGTCCTGACCACACATTAATTGGTGAACTTTCCTGGCCCTAGTAGGGTGTGTGTCACAGATTGCAGGCAGTTATTTTGAGTTCAAGTTTAAATGCGAGTGACGGCCGCCTCTCGGGTTAGTCCCTTTCGTAACTTTTTTTTGGTTAGGTAGCTCCGGGGAGCAGTAGGGGTTCTCCACAGAAAACCACAGTTGAATAGTTGAATGTAATGAAATGCCATTTCTTGACGAGCCCCGAAGGCTCCCCGGCACCCTCCCTCCTTCTATCCGGTCGACAGGTTTTTCGCATTGTTTATGATGCTCAGCCTCAGAACTGATTGCTGAAGGGGCCTGTGCAAGGGGATCCAGGGCCTCTCCTCTCCCTCAATGGGAGGTGAGGGGACTGTGCGGACGATCATCATGATGGCGTTGGTGATGTTTGCTGGTTTGCTTGTTTTAGTTCGGGAGTTCTGCCTCCCTGTTCGGTTCTTAGATAGCAAATTTTACCATGTGAGGTTTCTTTTGTTACGCCTACTTTTCTGGATACCAAATGCTGGTCGATGGCAGACACTGAATGATTCCAATCACATTGGGGGTTTCCATAGGCTATTGCTATTCGTGCCTCTCTGAGGGGGCCAGGTTCTTGCTCGTGGTCCCCCAGTAGGCAAGAATGCCAATCGACTGATGCATGGTCTAATACATTCATATCAGCCCAGTAAGATCCTTGAAGCATCTGGGGCTCGCCCAGAAAATGGCGTTTCATTACAATCAACGTTGTTGTTTTTTCTCTCTCCAATAGTGCTGCTGTATGTTCCCTCATTGCACCATAAGGTGACTAAATAACTACTCATATCCTGTTTTTTTTGTTTTTTTTGTTGTGTCTGATTTAAAGGCACACGCTTGTCTGGCAAATGTTAAGTGCCTGCCAGGATATTTCTTCTCTCAAATATATGCTAAGATTGGCTATTGAAATGGGGTTCTTTGTCTGTCTTATTCTAATTTTTTATAACAGCTACAGTCCTGCATGAGAAGTTCACTTTGATTCAGGTTAAGCTTTCCTCTTCATCTTCCCAAAGGTAGGGGCTCTGATTTCTTGGGCTTTTGGAGGAGGTTGGGGCTTTGTGGTTTCCTGTTTGATTTACACGTGATGTTTTCCTGCCGTTTGCATCTGTTGCCGGAAGATAGCATCAACCTGCTGATGGGAGAGCTCATTATCACAGCTCTTGGGGTTCTCATTCTTATTGTGGTAGGCTCCAGTAGAGGTAATGTCTAAAGACTTTACATGAAACATGGGCCAAGTATTTCTTGGCTTCAAAGGTGATGTCTTAGGGTTTTTCATGTATATGGTCACCCACACACAGTTTCATAATTTTCTAGTTAATCTATTATGTACCTGACAGTAAACATACACGTTATTTTTGTCCCAATTCTATTTCATTATACATAATTATTTTCCCATTACAGATATTTCAGGATGTAGACAAGATGAATTCCAGTGTAACAATGGTGACTGTATTCCATTTAGTCAGCGTTGCAATTTGAATCCAGATTGTGGGGATCGTTCTGATGAACAGAATTGTAGTGAGTATTAATATATATTTTAAATTTCCCTTAACCCTTGGACAGCGGCTATGGAAGAATAATCATACCCACCAATGTGCCAAAGCAAAAAAAAAAAAATAATAAAAAAAAATTATTTTTATAATAAAATTATTAATTTGTATGTAAAATGTAAGATAAACATAAAAATAAGAGAATATTTACATTTTTACTCTGTGGAAGAGCTCTGAAAGGCTGAGCAGTGGCTGTGTGGTGTGGCGTCTGTCAACACATGCTGATATGGTGCCCATATCTTAAGAAGTACATCAAGAAACTGGAAAAGTTGCAAAGGAATGCAACTAAATGGCTCCTGGAACTGAAGGACAAGCATTATGAGGAGAGGTTAGAGGCATTTAATGAATATGCCAAAACCAAAAGATAGAAGAAAAGGAGGCAATATGATCAAATGGTACAAAATAGTAACAGGAATCGATAAAATTGTTAGGGAAACTTCCCGAGACCTAGAACTTCAAGAACAAGAGGTCATAGATTTAAACTAATTAAATAAAGCTGCTGAAGAAATATAAGAAAATAAACTCTTACAAACAGAGTGGAAGACGGTTGGAAGAAGTTAGGTGAGAAGGTGGTGAAGCCTAAACAGTCAGTAGTTTCAAAGCATTATATGACAGAGTGCTGGGAAGAGAGGACACCACTAGCATAGCTCTCATCCTTTTAACTACACTTAGGTAATTACATTATTCTTTATATGGTCTTTAGGTGACAGTTTTCTATCTAGAGCCAACCCTAGAACTTTCTCTTTATCGGTATTCTTTAAAGTGTTTTCACGTAATTTATATGTAGCGTGTTTCTCCTATTCCACATTCCATAATATGGCATTAGTTCACAATAAATTCCATTTGTCACGTGGCATAATGTAATTTGCCATACACCTACTTTATCCAGGTTTTCTTCAAGGGCATGACAGTCATCCAAGTTTCTTAATCTTCCCTAGTATCTTAGCATCCTCAGCCAACCATGTTCATATAATTCTGTATTCTTTCTGGTAGATAGACAGTGAACATTACCGATGTAAGACGTGAAGCCTGTGGTACTCCACTTGTGACATTTCTCCAGTCTGTTACATTGCCCTGATTACCACCCTCATTTTTCTGCCAGTTAGAAAATTTGTCATCCATGTTAGAAGTCTCTCTGTCACTCTTCTAGTATCTTAAAGTTTCCAGAACAACTTGTTATGTAGGTTTCTGATGAAAGCCTTTTTTTTTTGTTCCAGATTGTAATTGCCTAAATGTAATTACTTGAGTTTAATTACAGAATGATAGCTATGCTTCTGGTGTCCCGTCTTCCCAGTACTCTGTCGTATAACGCTTTGAAACTACTGTCAGTTTTGGCCTTCCCCACCTTCTCACTGAACTTGTTCCAATCATCTTCCACTTTGTTTACAAAAGAAAACTTTCTAATATTTTTTTGGCACCTTTGTTTCCTTAACTTGAATCTGTGTCCTCTTGAAGTTGTCGATTTCATGAATTCCTTGTTGTCAATTTGGTCAATTTGGTCATTTCCTGTTATTATTTTGTAATTGGTGATCATATCACCTCTCTTTCTTCTGTCATCTAGCTTTGACATATTTAATGCCTCTAGTCTCTCTTCATATCTTTTGTTTTTCAGGTCTGGAAGCCATTTTGTAGCATGCCTTTGCACCTTTTCCAGTTTATTGATGTGCTTCTTGAGATATACGCACCATACAAGTGTCTGTGTGTGCATATGTAAAATATACACATGCAAATTTTTTTTAATTGCAAGAGTGCAAAATATGAATTGATCATATTTTGTGTATTGCATCTTAAATTCATTTTTTATGTAAATTGTATATTATATTTGTCAAATGTGTGGCCTATCACCATGGGCTTCAGTTCGATCAATTTAATAACACGACAAGAGGGAAGAGAGGGAATTATCAGGGGAAAGGAATGGTGCCTAACCACTTGGACAGTCGGGGATTAAATGCCGACCTGCATGAAGCGAGACCGTTGCTCTATCGTCCAGTCCAAGTGGTTGGACTAACAGATATTCAGTCAGATTTAATGCTGTGTTTACAATATATGTTGATAGATTGCATCTGATCCCATAAGATCGAATTATGATAAACAGTACAGGTTAATTTAATCAAGCTTTTGCGTGAAAATGTGGCACCAGTTTTCTTTGGATTTCAGAAATGCTCTGAATATAAAAATGCTTCATTTAATGATTTTGAGTTTTACCTTATTCTGTGATAACAAAAACTCATCTTATTGATACAATGACATTCTATTTTTTCAGCTTCATCTTTACCATTTGAAAATTTAATGTAACTACAACAATATGTTTAAATAAACAATGATTCACAGGCTGCGGAAGTGTTCAGTGGCAGTGTGATACGGGAGAGTGTATATTCCGCACACAAATATGTAATAGTGTGCGGGAGTGTCCTGATGGTTCTGATGAGAGAGGTTGTCCAGGTGTGTCTATCGTGTGATGTAAATAACTTTCCTCCTTATAATTCTCTCCTAAATGCTTGCTTTGTATACATAATATTTAAAATCCAACTCTTTACATATAATTGTAGTATTGCAGACTTAATTGCTTTTGTAAATCCATTGCCCTCCTATACCTCACTACTTACTGGATCCCAGATTCCTCCAAGCCTTGCTACGATGGTCAGTTCCGATGCAGTACTGGTGAATGTATTGATCACTCTCGTCTTTGTAATGGTTACGATGACTGTGAAGAAGGTCAAGATGAGAAATTTTGTACCAACGTCAACCTCCCTTCCACCCCTGTATATGTCCCCGCAACCTCAGGTTCGATTCATTTACATCACTGCACTTGGTTGCTGTTAAAATCTCGCTCTTTTTTTTTTTTTTTTTTTTTTTTTTTTTCTCTTGTAACACAGGTGTACAATTTGAGAATGCTGTCATCTTGCTGCATATGCTTCGTTGATATTAATAATTCCTTGTGTCTGTGATTCAGTCTTCTATATATAGCATTCATGGAAGGGGGCAAGTGTTACACAGCAATATTTATTTGAATAATATGAACTTTGTAAAAATTGCAGATAGAGGAGTTTTCTGAATAGTAAAATACAAGTGTTTATTGCAGAATAGAACGACATGCGGTGCTGTATTAACAGTTTATTGCAGCGTGTGTTAAAATGGTAAATTGTTGATTTTATAAATATGCAGAATACATTAACCACTGTACTGCACTGCTTGTGATACTATAGAAAAAGGGGAGCGAGAGAGAGAGAGAGAACGAGAGCGAGAGAGAACGAGAGCGAGAGAGAGAGAGAACGAGAGCGAGAGAGAGAGAACGAGAGCGAGAGAGAGAGAACGAGAGCGAGAGAGAGAGAGAACGAGAGCGAGAGAGAGAGAGAACGAGAGCGAGAGAGAGAGAGAACGAGAGCGAGAGAGAGAGAGAAAACGAGAGCGAGAGAGAGAAAACGAGAGCGAGAGAGAGAAAACGAGAGCGAGAGAGAGAAAACGAGAGCGAGAGAGAGAAAACGAGAGCGAGAGAGAGAAAACGAGAGCGAGAGAGAGAAAACGAGAGCGAGAGAGAGAAAACGAGAGCGAGAGAGAGAAAACGAGAGCGAGAGAGAGAAAGAGAAAGAGAGAGAGAAAGAAAGAGAAAACGAGAGAAAGAGAGAGAAAACGAGAGAGAGAATGAGAGAATGAGAGAGAGAGAGAAAAGGAGAACGAAAACAGGAGAGAAGAAAAGAGAATGAAGGAAGAGGCAGGAAAGGAGAATGGGGGTGGGAAAGAAAGAGAACAGGAGGGAAGAGAGAACAGTAATCCTGTAACTACACATAGGTAATTACAGACACAGACAGACAGACAGACAGACTCAGACATAGACAGACACAGACTGACTCAGGCATAGACAGACAGACAAACACACAATGTCACTTGTGTGTTTGGGTTCTTTCTGTATCTTCCCCCACCTGGGGTCCTCCAAACTCAAGTACTCCACCAGGTTTTATCGAATCATAAGTGCCTACCAGAGATCAGCACCAAAATCTGACCCTCTCAATAGATGGAAGAGGAGTCTGGGGGTACTAGACCACCATAGTAACCTATGGAAAAAAACCTGCCAGAAAGGTAAAATGTAATAAAACAAGGCTTGGACAACATTTGCAACCCTGATTTGAATTAGGTACATACTTGTTGTCCAGGTCTGTCTGCTAGTTATCTCCACTGTCTCACTACCGGGGGTCCATGGCAACTAGTCTAATCATTCATACATCACTCAAGCAAGAACGTTGAACATCACAGGAGGAAGGGAAAGGCAGGAATGGGAGGATTCAGAGGGGACCAACCAGAAAGAGGTATTTAATGATGTTCTGTTGCCATCTGAGTGTGAGGCAGTGTAACAAACTAGTGGTTGCACCTGGCTAACAAGTGTGTGCATAGTTGTTAAGTTTGTTTTGTTAGTCTGGTGCATGTTTCATTGGCTCTACCTTCCTCCAGTATTATCCCCATAGCCTGGGTGTTCCATAGTATTCCCAGACACTCCTGTTTTTATGGAGAGGAGCAGATTCTGCTTCTCATTTGGTCTGTGGTATGCCCTCGTAACAAAAAGTGTGTGGTGGGGGTGCATTAGGCATTGAGCGACCAGGCTAGGTAGCTCAAGAAGCCACTGAGTGGACCTACCAGAAAGAGTTGTTTAATTACATTCAATGTTGAATTTTTTGGGACCAGAGTTTTCAAAATTGTCAATGATTCTTTGTCATTTAGGAGGGTTATTCCTTGGTTTGAGGTTCTTTATGACACCTTCATGCTTCCCTGCCTCATTGAAGGGACAAGATTTTGGTCCTTGCTGAATCAATAGGCCAAAGTGATGATCACAGATTGCTGATATGACTGTGTCAGCCATGTTGTATTAGTGCCTATGCTTTGGGGAGCAACTGAGGGGGGGTCTACCCACATTTCCTTCAAAAAATTGCAAAAAGTTATTATATATGATTATAAAAAAATTATAGTGTATATATAAATTTAAGTATCAAGTTTCTATAATTATTACTATAATATATGTATGTGTATATATATATATATATATATATATATATATATATATATATATATATATATATATATATATATATATATATATATATATATATATATATATATATATATATATATATATATATATAGAAGGGAGTACCACCTCTAGCTGGAAGAAGGGGGACCCATAGCCTCGGAGGAAACCACGCATAACGCATTAGAGGGAATGTTTAGATCCCCTCCAATACAGTTTCTGTGTGCTTTTCTCCTACCACCCCCTTCCTTTTTTATTTTTTGTACTTTATTATGCATTTGATGGTTACAAGATATATATATATATATATATATATATATATATATATATAATATATAATATATAATATGTCGTACCTAGTAGCCAGAACTCACTTCTCAGCCTACTATTCAAGGCCCAATTTGCCTAATAAGCCAAGTTTTCCTGAATTAATATATTTACTATAATTTTTTTCTTATGAAATGATAAAGCAACCCTTTTCTCTATGTATGAGGTCAATTTTTGTTATTGGAGTTAAAATTAACGTAGATATATGACCGAACCTAACCAACCCTACCTAACCTAACCTAACCTATATTTATCTGTAAGGTTAGGTTAGGTAGCCAAAAAAGCTACGTTAGGTTAGGTTAGGTAGGTTAGGTAGACGAAAAAACATTAATTCATGAAAACTTGGCTTATTAGGCAAATCGGGCCTTGAATAGTAGGCTGAGAAGTGCGTTCTGGCTATTAGGTACGACATATATATATATATATATATATATATATATATATATATATATATATATATATATATATATATATATATATATATATATATAATATACATATATATATAATATACATACATAATATACAAACATACAGTATATATATATATATAATATAATCTCAACAAATATTGATACAAATATCCCATGCTTCAGTACAAATTCTTAACTTGCCCTTTTAACATATTTCTGAGAATATATAATCAAACAAGCACACACAAACATTCTAAGAATTATAATTTTTCCAGCCATACTTTATTAGATTTTTCATTTTCCGATCCCCAGCTGGATGTACTCCAAATGAGTTCCTCTGTTTATCTGGAGAATGTGTCTCATTGGGAGTTAAATGTGATGGACGAAGTGATTGCTTCGATGGCTCTGATGAAGAAGAAGAAGAGTGTGGTGTGTGTTCTTGCATGTCATTCAGCTTTTTCAAGTTGATAGATTATTTTAATTACCTAACACTCTTCATTTTCTGTTAGGAGCCCCTACGGCTCCCTGGAGCTTATTGGGCTAATGTATGTTATATTAGACCGGGATATTAGCTATCGAGTTCAGATCTACCAGGGACCTGCGCCAGAACCTGGCCCCTTCAGAGAGGTTTCAGGGAGCAATGGCCCTGGGAAAGTCCCCTTGTGGTTGGGGGGTTTGCCTTATCTGCCATCGACCAGGGTTAGGCACCAAGAAAGGTAAGCATAACAAAACAAACCCCACATGGTAAGAAACTAAAACAAAAAAACGAACAGAGAGGTAGAAACTCCCTACAATCCCGAGGAAACACGCAAACAAGCAAACATCACACTTTATTGCGGCGCCGATTGTCCGTGCAGCCCTCCCCGTGTTAGGCTCTCCGTGCAGTTCATGTCCCGGGGGTTGTCCAGTGTCCTGGCGCATGGCGTGTCTCTAATTTTTTCCCTGTCCATGGAATGAATGACGCCAACTCCTTCAGTTGGCTCTTCCAGACTCATGGACTCGCGGAGATGGACCTCTTCATGTTGGTGTAGTCCCGGCATTTTCCAGTGCATGTGGCGCCCTTCCCCGACTGCGAGGTCATCGCGGTCGCGTCACTTTTTGGCTGGACTGGTTGAGGTGGGGTTACCTATATGTCTTCATCTTGGTCCAGCTGTTGCTTCGGGTTCTGGCTCATTTGAAGACTTGCCAGAGTTGAGTATTTCTGTTGGCCCCTTGGTGGCCGGCTCAGTCTTGGTTTCAGGCGTTTCAAGCACCGAGCTGCTTGCTCAGTGTTCAAACCCGAGATGTTTCCCGTAGCTCCGCTGCAGTACAGACCGGTACAGTATACAGCTGGTTCGGTCTTTTCCTCTGCTCTTCACGACTGGTCTTCTTTTACAAGAGTATATCACCATATGTAAGGTGATCAGGTGGTTTTGTTGTTGGTGTCCTACCTACAAGCTTTGTCACAGCAACAGTATGAAGTTTCCTAGCATTCTTTTCACCTTTTTCTCTCTTGGTCGGTTGTCTTCTATTTCTGATTGGGTTGTCTTGTCCATTTGTTCTTGGCTTTTTCAGGACCGTAGCCGGGGGATGCGCTTTGGGTTAATGAGGTCTCCCTTGTTCCTTGTTTCAGGGCTTGGGTCTCCCAAGACGTCCGCAAGGTTATTCGGTCTAGCCAGTCTGCGGTCTATCCTTGTGCCCATGACGTTCGTAAGTTTGCTGCTTCGGCTGCTATCTTTGGCAACATGTCTTGGGCTGACATTTGGGCATGAGGATTTTCGAGGTCGAACAGGGTCCTGGCTGCTGGTTACCTTGTCAACATTCCTGGCGCTAGTTGAGGGTCTCTCTCTTTACAATGCAGGCTGCAGTCAGTTGTCTCAACTTAGAGTTGAGGAGCAAGTGGTGGCCACCTCCAGAGTAAGTCCCTCTTGTTCTTGTCTTTGGTTAGATAGCTCTGAGAAGCTGAAGGGGCTCTCCACAGAAAATTAGCATTGAATGTAATGAAACTCCATTTTCTGGGTGAGTCCCAGAGGCTTCCCAGCATCCCTTCCTCCCTCCGGTTGGTGTTTATTTGCGTCTTTTGACATTCAGCCTCTGAACTGAGCGTGGATAACTGGTGCGAAGGGTCTGGGACTCCCCATTTACCCTCCCTGGGGAGAGCTGCACAGACAGTGGCGCTGTAGTGATGTCATGCTTGTTTTCTGATTGGGGAGTTCTGCTTGCTAGTTCAGCATTCGGTTGCAATGTTTAACCAGCTGTAGTTTGTTTTGGGGCACCTACCTTTCTGGGTGCCTAAACCCGTAGATAGCAGACATGGAATGCTTCGAACCACATGGGGTTTCTATACACTATTGCTCCTCATGCCTCTCTGAAGTGGGGTCAGGTTCTGGCTCATGGTCCTCCGTAGGCTCAAACTCCATTGAATTGAATGATGCCACCGTCTAATACATACATATCAGCCCGGTAAGTTTTGGGGAGCCTCCGGGACTCGCCCAGCATTTCATTACATATAACACTGGTTATTTTTTGCCATTAATTTTTTTAATAGTAAAATTTTAATATCATAAGGGTGGGTTTGCTATTAAATTGTGACTATACTAACAAAGATTGTATAGCTGAGTATTAGATATACTTATAATTTACAATGACTTTCAGGTGAACCAAGTGGTCAAAATTGTACAGATTTTGAGTTCAGATGCACTGATGGTTCTTGTTTGACCGAGAATGTACGCTGTGATGGGATACCAGACTGCAGTGATGGATCTGATGAACTTCTTTGTGGTAACCGTGTGTACTAATACATTTTTTTATGGGAAAAAACAATTTTGGGAGTTTAGTACAAATTCATTCGACGTTTCCTTGGGTTCCTTGATATTAAGTTATTGTGTCCTGAAATGTACTTAAAATTTTGCCTTCATATTATTCAAAATCATATTTGCATTTAATATTAAACAAGTCCACTACAGGCTCAATAGCCCATGCTACTTGGAACTTATTGTTCCGAGTAGTTGAATCTAAAACAACAACTTAATATAATCTTCTTTCATGCATTGCTAATTATATTTTACAATAAATAGGCACTGCATTTTTTTTTAATCTCAATTTTACTGAAGTACTGTCAGTGTTTCCTCCTGTGGGCCCTGAGAAGGTTCACTCTATACTGAGATACTGTGCAGCTCCTAGTTAGCTTTCAGTTAATTCTGTAATAATGTATCTTAAATACATATTAATTTTATATTTATGTGATAGTGGATTAATTTTTATTTGTTATACAGCATTAATTATTTATAACAGTTTTTTACATTAATGAAAATATAATTAATTTGTTACCCTCACCCATTCAACAGCAGATCGATGTCAGTCATACGAATTTCAATGTTTGGATGGCCAGTGCATATCATTGTATGCTCGGTGCGATAATACCATAGATTGTCATGATCGTTCTGATGAGGAGGAGTGCCCTGGAGCCTCCACTACAACACCTGTTACAATTGGTGTTCCTAGTATGTTGTTTCCTCATTGTTCTAGGACATTCATTAATACCACTCTCATCTATCTTTCAGTTGCTGTGAATGAGAATTCTTAACTGCACTAATATTAGTGCATGTGCATTCAGATCTGATTACTAAAAATACTAAAGTGTTTATACTATTTGATTAATGTAGCTGTCTTAAACTGACCATATACAGTAGTTTGTTATAACATCCTTTTAATTATTTTTTGTTTTCAGAAAAGCAGTAGTACTCTGTATTGACAAATAATACAATAGTATATGGCACCCTTTCTCTTAGTAAATAATTTTATTTCAGATATTTACATCGAAAGCATGATGATTTTCTACATCTTTCTTTAATATTTCCATAGAGTAAATTTACTAATTATCTTCTTTTTTTAATTGTGATGGTTGCAGCATTGGCCTAGCATGCAATTGGTGCTAGTTTTGAATATTGTAGTCTTTTATATCAATATAACAAGCAATATTTCTTCAGTATGTTGGCTGATGGATGAAATTTTTCAGAGAAGAATCTAGCTGTGGCTTGATATGGCTAAACAAAGTTAACCCACAAAACATTCTTGCTGTAGAATATGGAATAAGGAATAATAAACCACACACAACCTATAAATTTTTCCCTTCAAAATGCATAAATCTTTGGCCTTGTTTCTTGCCTATAAGTTATGTGGAAAGACATTAAAGAACTCCTGATAAATAAAAAGATCTAAGGGTAATTCTGAATAGTAGACTGTAGGCCAATAGGAACTGGCTGGAGCTCCCAATTTGATGCCCTTTGGAGTCTTAATGACATTGTTACATACATTTCAGTGTTAGTGATGTCCCATATCGACCTAAAAGTATTATCGGTTTAATTTAAAGTCAAACACTCACTACCAGGATTATGTATTTTGCTGTTAGCTTCAAGATTGATACTGTATTGGTGAATGACTGTGGGTGCACATGGTTCCCCATCAGCGAGTTACCTCACTCACCTCCTGGTGCAACCAGGGGTCACACCTCTTTGCCTCACACACATTTAGCTCTCATCCTGTAACTACACTTAGGTAATTATCTTCAGATAAATGGTGTTGACTTTCCTTGGCATGCTTTGTTTTGTGTTGGGCTATTCCTGGTTTTTGTTCTGTTTGCTGCTGTACATTTTGTGTTTTGTGCCATATGCCCTGCACTTAAATTTTTTCGGTGGTTGTGTGTCACGGTTCCTTTCCCTGGTATTTGACTTGGATCTTCCTTGCCTTACCAGGGTTATCTTCTTTGTGAGGTTTTTGTAACTTCATCTTCAAGTTGACTCCTCTCAAGTCCTTTCATGTCTGGGAAGGGTATTTTTTTGCTCGCCATTGTGAGTCCTGTTCGTGGTTATTGATTGTAGTTGTGTATGGTCTTTGATCCTGACCCTGTGAAGGATCAGGGCTTTGGCTTTGACTCGGTAAGTCTCAATGGGTGTCCTTGGGTGATGTAGGTGTTTGCTTTTGTTCATAACTGCATACCCCTTCACTTTCCAAGTAGTTAAGATTGGGATTAGTGTTCAATCAAGAGACTTATCCTGGAAAGGAGAGAAAAAGCTTTTTAAGGTCAGTGCTCAAATTGTGCATTTGAGCAGATTGTTTTGGCTTCCACACCCTCCTCCATACCTGACACTGCTGTGGCCAGTTTTCAGAGGTGCATTTCATTGGTTTTGGACATTTATGGTCTTCCCTTCAGCTTTTGCCACTCATGTTAGATTGAAGAGTATTGTACTTTGACCCACGGAGTCTTCAGTTTTAATTTAGTAATCTTCCTGTGTTTGTAGGATCAGGCGTCCTGGTTTCAATTTCTCGGTCCCCATTCTGATATGATTGGAGAAGAGCTGCCATTCTCTCTCACTGTTTTATTAGAAGGTTATCGAGTATCTTGTTTTGAGTACTTTTGCCACATATTCTCTAGCCTCCTCTATGCTTCTTTCCAGGCAGTCAAGCTGTCTTTTCATTGTACATCAATTAGTTCACATTCCAGCTTCCTTTGTTAGTATGGGTTCCTAAACAGTTTTGGGCCGAAGGTCTGTAGGTGCTGAGGGATGAGGGGGGGCTGGCAAGGGCACTTTTGGAAGCTTGACAGAGACAGAGAAGCATTTATCCCTCCCTTGTTCTCTTTTTTTTGGGGGGAATGTGCCTGGGGGTTTATTCACTCAGGGCTTAAGGGTTTTCCTTGCTGATGCTCTATCTCTAACAACACTCAAAGGGATCAGGTTAGGATGTTGGCTCTGTCCTGAGCTTGTAGGATCTCTTGCTCTGATTGGACTGGTTCTCTTCACCTTCCTTGATTTGAGTTATTTTTATTTTTATTTTTATTTGAGCATGATACCTTTTCTGCATTTACCTTTTCTGGGTCCTTGTTAAATGCCTGCATTTGCCCGTTTCAATGGTTTCCGTTGTCTTGTATTTTCCGGGTTGTGACTTGGATAAACTTGCTTTTGTTTGTGCTGCTTGCCTTGCTCCTGCTGCTTGTAGTGCTTGACATCTGGCAGTTTTACATTCTCTCCAGGAGTTCACTTTTTTAAGTACCCTTTATTTCACTACCTTGTCCTCTACTCAACTACCCCAGAAAAGGAAGGTTTTACAGGTTTTAATAGCAGCATGTGTGACTTTTTGGCTGTTAAACTATGTGTTTCACGTCTCCTTAGGATTGGCATTTGCTACTTTGCCTATCATCTTATGCTGTGTACAGTCTCAGTCTTCCATTTAGCTTTGGCTAAGCCTCTTTGTTGCTACTATTATTGTTGCCTTATTGTCTGGCTTTCTTTGCTATGTTCAAGCCTTCTGTACTTTTAGTCCACTTGTGTTTCTCTAGAATCGGGTTTTATTTTTGTACTCTTGCTTGTTTATCCTCTCGCTGGTTTCAGCATTAGCTGTTCAGTTTCCAGCTTCTGTTTAGTTTTAATCTGTCATCCAAAAATGATAGTTACTTTGGCTGTAAGTACAAATTAGACTATTTCACCCAAAAATAGTCCCTGTTTTGTGGAACTGAAAAAGGAGACAACAACCAAACAAAAACTTTCTTAGGCCTAGTTTTTTCCTAGTACAGTCTAGTACATATATGCAGTCGGGTTCATTCTCGACTGAAAATCGGGAATTTCAGGTTCATATCCCGGGAGGAACAAAAATGGTTGGGCACATATCCTATCATAGAATGCCCTTGTTCACCTAGCAGTAAATAGGTACCCAGGGGTTAGTTTTATTGTGGGGTTGCATCCTGGGGGAGGATCGGTAGTTTGACCTTAGGGATATGTTGATATAAGCCTAACATGTATATATATGGCCTATATATACAGGACAGGCCTGTTGGGCCTGTCGCCCAACACAATTAAATATTATTAAATTAGACGGCATATAGTTAGGTTTGGTTTATGGTTACTCTATGCCACTTTTTGTTTATGCCCCTTAGTATTCCAGTACTACAAAATATTTTTTTTTTTGTCTGTAGTTTTTATCTTGTACATTCTATAGTTTTTGATGCATTGGTTGTTGGTTTGGTGTTGTATCCGGCCATCATGTGGGAATCCTGCGTGACCTGCATCTTTGATGTGTGTGTAGTACTTTTGGTTTGGTGGTTCAGGTTTCTTGGTTGCAGGTCTTTCCTTTCATGAATGCCTGCTTGTTTCTGAAGAAGGTTTTTTTGTCTTTACAGGTACACTACTTTTCTGACTCACTATACTGTGTTGCTTGCATATATATTAAAGCATATCCCATTTAAATGAGCTAATCAACCACCTTTTATCATTTCTATGTACACTAATTTCACTTGTAGAGTTTCCTTCTGTTCCCACTATCATAATTTTACTTTAATCCTCATAAACTTTTCAGAGACTTCTATCAAGCACACCACTCAAGGCAATCTATATGAATATATTAATTAATATTTTAAGTATTAATTCTTATTAAATAATATTCTTTGAAAATTCTAGATACTGTATATTTATGAAAAAGTATTTTAAATGCTTAATCATTATATACAATTTATTTATTAAATGTTGTTAATTCTTAGTTTCTTTTTCTATCTCAGGGGAATTCATTTGTTCAGATGGAAGATATATTGATGATTCTAAGCGCTGTGATGGCAGAACAGACTGTAGTGACGGCAGTGATGAGGCTCAATGTGGTAAGTTTTGTGGAAGACTCCGTCTTCAAAACCATGTTATTGTCACTTGTCGCATTATCTGCACTGTAATTTGCCTTTTCTCAGTGCATTGTTTGGTGGAAGGGGGGGGGGATTACCTCACCACCTATTGGGGTCTGAGCTCCCAGTTCTATAGCTGATGTAGTGCATACTGAGTCACCTCTTTTCTGTGCTGGCTCTGGTGTTCTGACTCTTCAGCTAATTAGTGTGGTGTTTTTACTTGATGGCATTTCCTGTACACTGTGGTGTAATATGATTCAAGTTTTGAGTGTGCTTGAAGCTACTGTACATGTGTGCTGGGTTAGCGTACCTGTGCTTCCTAGCGCTGCCCTTGCATTGCCAGAGTTATCTTCTCAAGAGTGTTCGGGAGTTGCACCCTTAGAATTCCTCTGCTTATGATGGCCCTCATCCAGGGTGAGTCAGATGTCATGGGGCTTAACTATCTTAACATTGGTTGGGTGTGGCTGTCACTGGCATTGATGTTTCAAGCACTTCTCTCAGTGCTTCGAGGTCTGCTTTCAGAGTTGTGTGAGCCTGGCTGTGTCAGCTTACTTTAAGGTCCAGCACAATAATCCCAGTGCCTGGGGTGTCCTGCTTGATTTACCTTTCAGACCCTGAAAATCCCCTTTGAGTTTGGGGATCCTATGGGTATTCCTCCCCGAACCTACTCTTGCTTCATGTGAGTTTCAGGATTGTTCATCTGCGTCATGGTGCGCAGTTGGATGTACCCAGTGTACCCAATTGGATACCCTGGAGCTGCCCCATTTCGTGTTTAGAGACCTGAAATTGGAGGTGTTAAGGAACTCTACCATGGCCTTGTCTGCACCTCCACTACCTTCATCTGATCCTGCCCCCTGCTTCCGGCCCCAAAGCATCTGAGGGTTTCCGAGTCTAGATAGGGTTTAGCTCGAGATGTAGCTTGACAGGCTATGGGGTTGCCCCTTTCAATTCAGGCGCAGAGGCAGTAGAGCTGGTGGGTTCTGCCAAGGCTTTGGAGTTTTCCTTTCAGCCAGCCCCTACTTCCTTTGAAACCTCTTCCTTGGACCCTGGTTTTCTATCCCGGGCTGTGGGCAAGGATACTGGCTCTGTCCTCAACTGTGGCTTCTAAGATTTAGGGGGAAGTCAGATATGGGCCCTTGGGGTCTCGTTCAACTTTACATGGGTCATAGTTCTTTCTGATGAGGGTCTTCTTTTACAGGGAAGGGGTTTTCATATCCTCCATCCCTGTATAAGTATGATTTGGGTGTGGCTCCCTCAGGGTTCAGTTCCATGTGCCTTTGGGCCCGTCGGGATCATTCTTCTAGAAGGGCCAGTTTTAAGTCTGGTCCCTGGTAGACCTCTAGAACTCTACAGCTGGTGTGGCCCAGTAGATGACCCCAGTAGATTGACAGAGTTGGATTCCCTACGGGAGGAGGTACAAAAGCTGAAACAACATCAGGAAGAAACAAAGGAGGTGACCGGTATTAAAAAGACCTTGTCTTGGCAATTTGTAAAGGACAGGGGCCTTAAGAAGACTTTGGCAAAGCCGCCTACTGATATCCTAGGACTTCTAACACATTTGCCGTGTTAGAGGACGAGTGCTGTGGTGAGCCTGCAGTTTGTTCGAAAGGCAAAACAACGAAGAGCAACGAAGCACAGGTCCCTCAACGTGTTCAAAAGGAAAAGGAAGGAACTAAGTGAATTTTGATTGTGGGAGATTCCCAGGTAAGGTATTTAGACAGGACGTTTTGTGCCAGTGATAAGGGGAACAGGTTAAGGGTTTGGTATCTGGGAGCTGGAATTGGAGATATTGTTGACAACATGAAAGAGATTATGACGGGAAATGGAAACAAACCCATTATTTGTATTAGTGCAGGGGGGTAATGATGTTGGATGAGTTAGGAGTGAGGAACTTATACAGAGGTTCAACAAAGCCATAGAATTAGTTAGGAGCAAGGGAGGAATCCTGATCATATGTGGCATTCTTCCAAGAAAGGGAGTTGGAAATGAATGGTTGTTGAGGGCACTTGGTGTCAGTTGTCGGCTGGAAAGATATTTCATATCAAATGCAATATCTTTCATAGGTAACTGGGATCACTTCTATGCAAGAAATAAAATGTATGCTCGGAATGGGATGCATCTATCGAGGACTCTGGAGGTTGTTGTTGCGAACTCGTTGGAACAAGTGGTTAGAGGTGTTTGTTTGGGTTTGGGTTTAAACTGTTAGTAGACAGTGGTATGGGAATTGATTTGGAGGAAGGAGGTAATAAAAGTATGTGTTTGTGGGAGAAACAAATTGGCAAAATGATCAGGGAAAAGAGAAGGGCCTCAAAATAACAATACACTTTGGGTATATTACATTAACAGTAGAAGCCTAAGAAACAAAATAAACGATTTAAATGCTCTTGTCTGCACAGAAAAAATAGATATTATTACACTTACCGAAATGTGGATGAATGTAGAAAATAGAGAACTATTAACTGAATATCAAATAAATGGACTTAAACTATTTCACATAGATATATTAGACGAGGAGGGGAAGTAGCTATATATGTTTGGGAAAATTTGAAATGTAGTCTCAAAGAGGGAATCAAAACTGAGTGGAAGAAACTATTTGGATAGAATTAAACGAAAGAGCAAATAATCTTATAATAGGAGTTATGTACAGGCCACCAAACTTGAGCAGGATGGAAGCAAAGCACCTATGGGATGAAATATCTAGAGCATCTAGGTCTAGCTGTATTTGTGTCATGGGTGACTTTAATTTTAGTGGAATAAATTGATCTAACAGAACAGGTAATAATGTAGCAGAAGATTTTCTAGAATTAATTGACGATTGCTTTCTTATCCAACACATTAAGGAACCAACGCGGGAAAATAATAATTAAAATTTAGTGTTAACTAACAGGGGAAACACAAATTAATGACATCGAAATAGGGAGTGAGCTAGGGAACAGTAATGGCAAAGAAATCAGATTTAGCATAGAATGGAATAGATCTGTAGGAGAAAATTCTGTTAAAAGTGCCAGATTTTAGAAAAGCTGATTTCAATAGCCTAAGAAATTTTTTGGGTCAAATAGCTTGGAAAGTCTTGGGCATGGAGGGTGGACTGGTCTTGGAGCGAGACATGAATCCAGCGATAGGTGACGTAAAAGGGGATTTCGATGTGGATTCAAAATATAACTTATTTAAAAATATTCTAAGCAAAGCACAGGAACGTAGTATACCATACAAATTGAATAGATCGAATACTAATGACCTAAAGTGGATAACAAAGGATTTGAAGAACCTTATAGGTAAAAAGAGAGCGTGGTACAAAAGGATTAAGAATGGGAAAGTAAGTTTAGAACAAGAATTCGTACAACTAGTTAGGAATGTTAAAAAAAGAGATAAGCAAAAAGAAACTTTGAAGTTTGCATAGCAGGGCAAGCAAAGACAAATCCTAAAGGTTTTTTTTCAGTTATATCTGACAAAGACTAGGGAAAGGATAGGTCCATTAAAAACTGAGACAGGTCAAATAACGGATAATGATAAAGAGATGAGTAGTATTTTTAACAAATATTTTATATCTGTATTTACTAAAAGAGGAACTTAACAATATGCCTTCAGCCGAACAAGTCTGTGTGTGTGGGGACAAGGACAGGCCGACTAGTTTAGCAGTTACCAGGGAAGATGTAATTAAACAAATAGTAAAACTAAAACCAAACAAATCCCCAGGGCCAGATGAAGTGTTTGCCAGGGTGCTTAAAGAATGCAAAGAGGAGCTTTGCGAGCCATTGTCTACAATATATAATAAATCAGTAGATCATGGAAGGTTGCTAATGTGGTAAGAATTTTTATAAAAGGAGATAGACCACTTGTCAAACTATCGGCCAATTAGCCTAACGTCTATTGTGGGAAAGTTACTTGAATCGATAATTGCGAATACAATTCGTCTTCATCTTAAAAAACATAAATTAATAAATGAGTCGCAACATGCTTTTACAAATGGCCGTTCATGTTTTAACAAATTTGCTGTCTTTTTATTCAAGCATAGTTGAGGCAGTTGATAGTGGTAAGGATTGTGATGTTGTGTACCTTGACTTTAGCAAAGCTTTTGATACAGTGCCACATGAAAGACTGATTAACACTATCGCTTGCTTTGGACACCGATTACGTCCATTTTTTTGTCTCCTGAGACAAAAAAGCTGTGGACAGGACTTGCGTCCACTACAAAAAATATTTGTATAAAATTAATTTTTTATCCGATTGACCTCGGGATATTTTCAAAATAAGCGGCTTTAAAATGCGCACAATTTGATACCAAAATGAAAGATGTAACACGAAACTTGATGTCAGAACACTTGAAAGATTATAAATACGTTTTTGGGTCTAAATTTTAAATTTTAAAATATTTGTTAAAATTCTATTTATTGTGCTATTATTATGGGACTAGTTTTAAAATGCGCGCCTTTATATTGTGAACAATTTGATACCAAAACCAGCAAAGTAACATGAAATTTTATGTTAGAACACTGGAAATATATAATTAATTTAGATGATGAGCGTCCAAAATTAAAATATTTGTTAAAATTCAAGTTATTGCTCTACTATTATGGGACTAGTTTTAAAATGCGCGCCTTTATTTTGCGAACAATTTGATACCAAAACAAACGATGTAACAGGAAAACTGATGTTATCAAACTGAACGAGTATACACATTAGGTTATGGTGTGCAAATTGGTGCTCGTTCACGGGTAACTTTAGGCTTTCCTGCAGGGAGTCTCGCCAGGCTTTTGGACATTATATGCATATATATCTGCAGGGAATTTAATTGCGAACATAATGATACCAAACGAACGATGTAGCACGAGAATTAAGGTGAGAAAACTGAAACAAGTATACACATTTTATTGATTTTGTGCGCTCACGGTAACTTTTCCGACTTTAGGCTTTGCTGTGGGGAATCTCGCCAGGCTTTTGGACATTATATGCATATACATCTGCAGGGAATTTATTTGCGAACACAATGATACTAAAACGAAAGATGTAGCACAAAAATTAAGGTGAGAAAACTGAAATGAATATACACATTTAGACATCGCCGCATGCTCGCCCGCACCATTGGCCCCATGACGTCAAAGTCTGCCGAGCGTGCATGGCGCCGGTGATACTATAAAAAAGATAGAGGATCATGGTATTGGGGGTGCTATATTAAGTTGGATTAGGGCATGGCTATTCCAAAGGAAACAAAGTTAGTATAAATGGGGTTAAATCAGAGTGGGATAATGTTGTTAGTGGTGTGTCTCAGGGCTCTGTCCTGGGACCTCTGTTGTTTATAAAATATGTTAATGATTTAGATTCAGATTTGAGTAGCAGCATTTGTAAATTTGCCGATGATACAAAAATTGGTAGGGAAATTAACACGGAAGATGACTCTATTGCTTCAAGTTGATCTAAATAGGGTTTTGAAATGGTCAAAAGATTGGCAGATGCAGTTTAATGCTGATAAATGTAAAGTTTTGAGGCTAGGTAATGATGATAGTTACAAGATACGAGCTGGATGGTGTTGAGATTGAGAAGTCGGATTGTGAAAGGGATCTGGGAGTTATGATTAGTAAGAATTTAAAACCAAAGGATCAATGCATGAATGTTCATAATAAGGCAAATAGGACACTGGTATTTATTAATTGAAGCATGAGTAACAAGACACCTGGTGTTGTTCTTCAGCTATATCTTGCTCTGGTTAGGCCCCATTTAGATTATGCAGTGCAGTTTTGGTCGCCGTACTATAGAATGGATATAAATTCACTTGAACGTGTCCAGCGTAGGATAACAAAATTAATTCCCCAAATTAGAAATCTTTCATATGAAGAAAGATTAACAAAGCTTAAATTGCAACTTCACTGGAACGGCGAAGAGTTAGGGGTGACATGATAAGAGGTTTACAGTTGGATGAATGGACATAACAAAGGAGATATTATTAATAGGGTATTAAAAGTATCAACACAAGACAGAACACGAAACAATGGGTATAAATTGGATAAGTTTAGATTTAAGAAAAACTTGGGTAAATACTGCTTCGGTAACAGGGATGTTGATTTGTGGAACCAATTACCGCGAAACGTAGTGGAGGTGGGGTCCCTCGATTGTTTCAAGCATGGGTTGGACATGTATATGAGTGGGATTGGGTGGTTATAAATAGGAGCTGCCTTGTATGGGCCAATAGGCCTTCTGCAGTTACCTTTGTTCTTATGGTAACCATCTCAGCATATAACGGAGCCACTATTGGCTTCCCCCAGTAATGTAATATTGTGATCTAGGTTTTATGCTCCTGTAATTGCCACACACTTAAAATTTGTTTTTTTATATTTGCATAAAATTTTTCCTAAGTATAAAATTAATTTTGCATGAATTTAAATGCATATTTTTGTTGATTTCAGACACTGGCTATCTCAGCCTGAGAACATATCCAGATGACCAGACCATCCAGCAGAGTAAGTCTCAGTACTTTAGTACTCATCTCTCCATCCCTACCAACACCCCGTCTTCTCCAATCCTTTCTCCATCCTCTGAAGTGTCCGTATTAATATCATTGTCCCCTCTTCGTTTACCTTTTACTCTTTTGACAGTGGTACTAGTAATGCTCTTGTCTACTAACTAAGGGATTTGGGCAGTCTTTTAATGCATATACAGTACTGACAATCCTGCACTATTGTTTTAATACTCAAATCATTCCAAAGATCTGAACTAATATCTTGTCTTGATCTGAACTTATGTCTTGTGACATATTAATAAACTGGTATTTCAAAATTGCATTAGATAAAAAATACTGGAGCCACAAATAATATTAGCTGTGTGATATTTTTTCTTCTAAATTTAACTCAATGCTAAACCATGTGAATTTTGGCAGAACCATTTGAAATAGATATATATATATATATTGCAGAATAACTCTAAATTACATGAAAATAATGTAAAGAAAAGATAAATATTTTTTGTCTTGCAAAATAAATTTTTAAGTGTGATGTTCTTACATTCATGTCTATATGGTCACCAGAAGGTTGTTGAGAATGTTTCCTCTCTCATTGTTGTACTCTTTACTTGTGCCTCAGCTCAGGAATGTTGTGTGTAGTTGACCCTAGAAAATTATATTTTAAAATAACATGTTTGAAATTTATGTTGCATATGATAATTAGATTCTAGAGGGTAAAATCATAAAGGAATACTGATTAAAGCATGTATGAAGAAAGATTTCCGAGATAGTTTTTCAGTATTGAGCTAAGTCTAAGAAAAGCTGGCCTTAAATTGTGATTGTTTATATCTGTATATCTTTGTCTTTGGATAGAATATTTCTGGTTACGAAAAATAATAGCATAACTTTTTGACATTAAAAATTAAACAGTTATGTTTAATTTAATGAGCAAATATATTTGTTACTACTTTGTTATTTTATATAATTTGTCATATTGTGTTTATTAAGTCACCACCAACAGTAACCAGTCTTTGTGGTGTAGTGGTTAAGACGCTCGCCTGGCGTTCCGCAAGAGCTTTGCCATGGGTTCATATCATGGACGGGGAGGATTTACTGGACGCAAATCCTTAACCCTTAACTGTGGCCTGTAGCATAATCAAGATATACAGATAATTATGGTTTGAAGCTTTTTAATATATATTTATATATATATTTATTTATTTATATTTATATATATATATATATATATATATATATATATATATATATATATATATATATATATATATATATATATATATATATATATATATATATATATATATATATATATATATATATATATATATATATATGTCGTACCTAATAGCCAGAACGCACTTCTCAGCCTACTATTCAAGGCCCGATTTGCCTAATAAGCCAAGTTTTCATGAATTAATGTTTTTTCGTCTACCTAACCTACCTAACCTAACCTAACCTAGCTTCTTTTGGCTACCTATCCTAACCTTACCTATAAATATAGGTTAGGTTAGGTTAGGTAGGGTTGGTTAGGTTTGGTCATATATCTACGTTAATTTTAACTCCAATAAAAAAAAATTGACCTCATACATAGAGAAAAGGGTTGCTTTATCATTTCATAAGAAAAAATTATAGTAAATATACTAATTCAGGAAAACTTGGCTTATTAGGCAAATCGGGCCTTGCATAGTAGGCCGAGAAGTGCGTTCTGGCTACTAGGTACGACATATATAATATATATATATATGTCGTACCTAATAGCCAGAACGCACTTCTCAGCCTACTATGCAAGGCCTGATTTGCCTAATAAGCCAAGTTTTCATGAATTAATATATTTTCTCTAATTTTTTGCTTATGAAATGATAAAGCTACCCATTTCATTATGTATGAGGTCAATTTTTTTTTATTGGAGTTAAAATTGACGTAGATATATGACCGAACCTAACCAACCCTACCTAACCTAACCTAACCTATCTTTATAGGTTAGGTTAGGTTAGGTAGCCGAAAAAGTTAGGTTAGGTTAGGTTAGGTAGGTTAGGTAGTCGAAAAACAATTAATTCATGAAAACTCGGCTTATTAGGCAAATTGGGCCTTGCATATTAGGCTGAGAAGTGCGTTCTGGCTACTAGGTACGACATATATATATATATATATATATATATATATATATATATATATATATATATATATATATATATATAGCTAGGTTATATATATATATATATATATATATATATATATATATATATATATATATATATATATATATATATATATATATATATATATATATATATATATATATATATATAATATGTCGTGCCTAGTAGCCAGAACGCACTTCTCAGCCTACTATGCAAGACCCGATTTGCCTAATAAGCCAAGTTTTCCTGAATTAATATATTTTCTCTAATTTTTTTCTTATGAAATGATTAAGCTACCCATTTCATTAAGTATGAGGTCAATTTTCTTTTATTGGAGTTAAAATTAACATAGATATATGACCGAACCTAACCAACCCTACCTAACCTAACCTAACCTATCTTTATAGGTTAGGTTAGGTTAGGTAGCAGAAAAAGTTAGGTTAGGTTAGGTTAGGTAGGTTAGGTAGTCGAAAAACAATTAATTCATGAAAACTTGGCTTATTAGGCAAATCGGGCCTTGCATAGTAGGCTGAGAAGTGCGTTCTGGCTACTAGGTACGACATATATATATATATATATATATATATATATATATATATATATATATATATATATATATATATATATATATATATATATATATATATATATATATATATATATATATATATATATATAATAAATATGTGTGTGTGTAGTCTTACACATTCAACAATAAATATGTCTGAAGGTAGTCTTACACATTCAACATTTCTGAGTACTTAAATAGTTATAAGGTTTTGTGAAAATATGATGTTTAGGGCATGATTGTTAAAAGCATTTTATGAAAAAGTGATCTCATTGAATGGTTGTGATACGTTCCTTGTTCTAGCAATGTTAGGACATATGTACCATCTCGTTAATAAATTTGTTAAATTGAGTTTGTGTATCAAACAATGAAAACCTTGAACATCATATTTCTCAAGAGTGAATTGATAAGTCTGTTCTGTTTAATGCTTTCAAAAGTTCCTGAAGGTAAGAATATGGGCAATTGTTTTGTTTTAGATGCATGCATTTGTTTTGCTTTGTGCATGTGTTGGTAGTGATTATACTCTCTTCAAAATAGTGATTAAGAATGTAGTACTGTATTATTATTTTTACTTACAATTCAAAACTAAATGTAAATTTAAGTTTTAACTGTAGTAAAATATACTTTTAAATTTGTATATATGTAATAAAAAAAAAAAAAAAAAAAAAAAATATATATATATATATATATATATATATATATATATATATATATATATATATATATATATATATATATATATATATATAATATGTATATGTATATGTATATATAATTTATTTATTTAGATAAATAAATTCCTCACAATGACTCGGTGAAAACAACACACACTTCCAGTAAGGCTTGGTGACCCCAGTGACTGCACTGCCACTCATTTCTACTGTTCCATCATTTTCTCATCATCCTCGTCTGCATTAGACGACTTGGTCAAGGAAATTCTACTGATAATTTATCTAGTCAGCATGCATGCCTGATACCAGCTTTGCAAAATTCACAACGAAATGGGATTCCCCTTGCAATCCCAACCTCAAGACCAGTCTATCAAAATCCAACAAACACGTCAGCTGGGACAGCTCTTTGTGGACAAAGAAGCTACTGCTTTGCTGAATACAGCAACAATACCCAGTGATCATGCATTTCTCACAGATGGGAGTGCTCATCTTGCAGAGGAATCCCGTGTCTTCAACACACATGTTGACTTGCAGTATCTTAGTATTGTGGTGGCTGTCCACAGTGATGGCCAAATCCACCCTATACAAGTTTTTTATAGTGAGGACAAAGTAGATGAATATAGATTGCATGGTCTGGACTGCAGAAAATCCAAGGATTGGGACTCAGTGTATGAAGATGTCAGTGACATCTGCCCAGTATCCAGCTGAGAGATATCCTCATTTTCTAATGTCCTGAAATTCTGCTATCCCTGTTGGTCAACCAGATGGAAATATGCTATACCCATGGTGGACAGAAGGCAACTGGTATGGGAGTGTACTTATGTATCGACCTTGGCAGACACCTACATTTCCCTCTTTTGGTAAAGCAGGATGCTGCTGCTATGCACTGGGAAACACGTTCTATTAGTACAGGGAAGTAGACCAACTTTATTCCTGTAGGATTTGAAACTCCTGGCCTATGGAGAGAAAGCTCTAGTGGCTTTCTCAGGAATATGGACTACTTATTTGAACTACTGAAGATCCTAGAGCAACCACTTTCGTTTTCCAGTGCCTCATTGTGGCAATCCAAAGAAAAATGTATACTGCATCTTCAGTTCCTGCCTACCATCCAAGAAGTTCAAATAAATATATGGCTAAAAAAAAGAATTTTTGTACCTCTTTTGTATCCAATTTTGTAACCGTTTAACCTTGTACAATAAATCATGCAAAAAAGTGTGGGGAATTGAAAGACAGTATCAAAATGCATGTATAGGACTTAATATAGTCCCATTGAATGTCATTGATTCTTTCCACTGAGGCGAGATGGTTTCTTAGGGTAGATGAGTGTTATCTGGGCCTCCATTTTCTCTCATGGTTTTGCTAAAGGTAGGATTAACCTAGATGTGAAAGAGGGAAGGGGAGAAGAGAAAGAAGAAGAAGAAAGGTATATTAGTGTTTTTAAGAATGTTTCATAAAATTACAGTACTGTATGTTCTTAAATATGCCATCATTAGAAATTAAGAGACCTTTCAAAATAAATTATATTTGAACCATATCTAGCAATTTATATAGTATTTCTTTTCCACTGCTACCCAGTGTCACTTGCAAACTATCCACCCATTTCTGATGGTTAATTTAAAAGATGTATGGCTGCTCTCTTTTTCTCTCTGATATAAATACGATTTATTTTTGTATCTTGCAATAGTTCGCTGACTCCTATTGGTATAGGGTGGTCTGTTTTGTCTATGTAGTTTTATACCAACTATTTTGACAATTGGATACAATTTTTCTATTTTTATATATCGTACCTCAGACTATTTGAGTGTTAAGATTGACTTTTCTTGCTTTTTGTTTTCCCAAATAAGTTTTAGTTTTGCTTAAAGCTGCTGATTATTCTATTTTGAGTTATTTTCAATTACTTTACATTAATTTTTATTACTCATTCCTTAATCATTTTGGATAAATTTAATATTTTAATTTATTCTTATCACTATTTTTTCATCAGATGTACTTTATAAACTCATCCCCAATTTCATATTTGAATCATACAATATTGTTCCACTCTTTCTGCATGATATGCTCACTATTCTCAGCTGTGTCATACCACACTCATCTCCTATACAATACATTCTTTTAAAATAAAGTAATTTAGTTTCACATTTAAGCTTATTATGAGACTTGGTAATGCATATGTATGGGGAACCCTGAGACTAGTTTAAACTCATCACATTACCTTAATATTATTCTTGTGATCAATAGTCTTATTTCTCACATGACATGCTGAGTATTCTCATTTCCCACATTACATCCTCGGTCTTCTCACTTCCCATATGATGTGCTCAGTACTGCATTCTCAGTTCCCACATGATGTGCTCGGTATTCTCACTTCCCACGTGACGTGCTCGGTATTCTCACTTCCCACATGACGTGCTCAGTATTCTCACTTTCCACATGACGTGCTCGGTATTCTCACTTTCCACATGACGTGCTCGGTATTCTCACTTTCCACATGACGTGCTCGGTATTCTCACTTCCCACATGACGTGCTCCGTATTCTCACTTCCCACATGACGTGCTCGGTATTCTCACTTCCCACATGACGTGCTCGGTATTCTCACTTCCCACATGACGTGCTCGGTATTCTCTCTTCCTACATGACGTGCTCGGTATTCTCTCTTCCCACATAACGTGCTCGGTATTCTCTATTCCCACATGACGTGCTCGATATTCTCTCTTCCCACATGACGTGCTCGGTATTCTCTCTTCCCACATGACGTGCTCGGTATTCTCTCTTCCCACATGACGTGCTCGGTATTCTCTCTTCCCACATGACGTGCTCAGTATTCTCACTTCCCACATGACGTGCTCGGTATTCTCACTTCCCACATGACGTGCTCGGTATTCTCTCTTCCTACATGACGTGCTCGGTATTCTCTCTTCCCACATAATGTGCTCGGTATTCTCTATTCCCACATGACGTGCTCGATATTCTCTCTTCCCACATGACGTGCTCGGTATTCTCTCTTCCCACATGACGTGCTCGGTATTCTCTCTTCCCACATGACGTGCTCGGTATTCTCTCTTCCTACATGACGTGCTCGGTATTCTCACTTCCCACATGACGTGCTCGGTATTCTCACTTCCCACATGACGTGCTCGGTATTCTCACTTCCCACATGACGTGCTCAGTATTCTCACTTCCCACATGATGTGCTCGGTATTCTCTCTTCCCACATGACGTGCTCGGTATTCTCTCTTCCCACATGACGTGCTCAGTATTCTCACTTCCCACATAATGTGCTCGGTATTCTCTCTTCCCACATGACGTGCTCAGTATTCTCACTTCCCACATGACGTGCTCGGTATTCTCTCTTCCCACATGACGTGCTCGGTATTCTCACTTCCCACATGACGTGCTCTGTATTCTCACTTCCCACATGACGTGCTCGGTATTCTCACTTCCCACATGACGTGTTCTGTAATCTCACTTCCCACATGACGTGTTCTGTAATCTCACTTCCCACATGACATGTTCGGTACTTTCACTTCCTCATATCTTTGGGATCTCCAGTATAATACTCTCTTAAAATCAAGTAATTAAGTTTTATTTTATAGTTTTGTAATAATCATTCAACTTTTTTGGGAAGGCTTGCTGAGAGAGACCTCTCCTGAAAGTAAAGTTTTATTACATTTAATGCTGGATTTTTATATTTTTTTGTTTATTTTTTGTTTATTTTTTACAAATTCTGTACTGTATTGTTCATACACCTGGAAGTCTTAGTTTTTCCTTGGTTCATTTTTACCTTTTGACTGTATAAAAGATAAAGAGTAATTTGATTACTAATTCCTGTATGTAATTTATCTGCCTTTAATCTGTCATGCACACTACATTTCCTAACTCATAATAAGGGTAAGTCATACTTGTATCTAATTTCCTTTAGTTCCATGTTGTATATATACATATGTGTATATTTTAAATAAATAATAGGAGTAAGTCTCTTTAAAATACGACTCTGAAATTCATCAATTTTCTCCAGAATTCATAATTTCTTTGCCATTACATAATGTACAATCACCGGTAGCACTCGCTCGCAACCTACCAAATAGGGTTTGTCTTACAAACACTGCAGACCTATTATTTGTAGTTTTAAGTTTCAAGTTATCATAAATTTTTTGTAAAATTTTCTTGCTCTAGGTGGGCTTACTCTGTATAAAGATGGTTTTACAATTACCCATACAGCTTATTATGTAAATTACCTTGACTGATGCACAAGGTTATTTAGAAATCAATCTTCATGAACCCCAATTGTGTGTGTGATTATTATTTTTGCTTTATTACTTTGCTTATGGCCAAGAATAATTTTGTTCCAAAATTATTCAAAATTTAGAATTAAAATCCTGTACTGTACTGCACTTCATAGGTATTAAAGTTATCAGTTATTTATGTAGCTAATATACTGAAATAAATCTGCAAGTATTTGCAACAAATTTCTTACATACAGTATTATATATTTTTCATTAGTTTTATTGGTTCAGTATTTTACTTTTGTAATATTTTGAAATTAACCAAAGCTAATATAATACCAAAAATTTCTTGTAACATGTGTATTGGATCGACTCTTCAATATTCATATAAATATTACAGGTCGTGAAGTGGTGTTCCAGTGCCGTGACGAAGGCTCAATAAGAGCACCTGTGCGATGGGTAAGAGATGGAAATCGTCCATTGCCTCCTGGAACAACTGATATTCGTGGTCGCCTAACTATGCCTAATATACAGGTAAATTAATGTTTGATTAAAATGATGCATAATTTTTTGTGTAAAGTTGGTAGTAAATAGGTACCTGGGTGTTAGACAGCTGCTATGGGCTGCTTACCATAGCAGCTGTGTAACAAAGAGGAGGCACGATCGAGGACTGGGCCGCGGGGACGCTATGCCTCGAAATCATCTCAAGATAACCTCATAAGAAACTTGACTAAATAAAATTTTTGTATGATTCTGATTGGGGTCGTCCCCGTATGACCTGAATTAGCAGGCATAGAGAGCATTTAGACTGTGTTACATATGTAAATTTTCTTCATAATTTAAATAGAGTACTGTAGTTCTGAAGTTACAATTTCTTGCACTGAGAAAAATTTGTCAGTTTGTAAATATTTTATAGAATAAGATTTGCTAAATAAAATAGTTTTCCCAGTGTATAATTAACCATATTTGTTTTCAGGCTTCTATTCAAATTATATCAAGGGCTAAAATATTATCTGAATTGTCTAGTACTCACTACTTGCTCTCGGCAGACCCATCCCACCAAGAACCCTGTTAGTTGATCTGTTTTCTTCCCTTCACTTCACTTTCCTCTCACTCTCCACCACTTCTTCCCGTGTGTCTACTGCCACCACCACCATTACCACCTGTCCACTACATCCTCCACAACCTCCAGCTTAGGCTCATTTCATTAGCTTGTAATGATTACATTCCTTGACTGCATTATCGTTATATTTATCATCCCATTTGTGTCCTGAGAATATATTTTTGTCAAATGATATTATGTGATCAGAGTTTATCGAGTAAAAAGTATAATATTAGTTCAATGAACCATTTACTTCAGATTGAACACTCTGGCACATACTTCTGTGAGGCACAAAATGTACCATTACCGCTTCAAGGAAGAAGGAAATCTGTGTATCTACAAGTTACTCCATGTAAGTTGATCTGCCTTAAATTACTGTAGATGAATTATATATCTATCTATCTGTCTGTCTGTGTCTGAATGTATGTATGTATGTATAAATTACTCATTTTGCCTAAAAGACTTTGCAAGTTTTCAAATATATCTTTTTACACTTAGTTCACAAAGAATAATAATAAATTGACTACATGAATTTCTAACTTAGTTTCGCCTAATTATACCTATGTTAGGCACTATTGAGAAATAATTGGTATAATTTGACTATGTTAGGTTTCTTAGTTAGTTTTGATTCATTGAAAAAATCCCTATCATGTTTATTATAAGAAAGAACTTATCATTTCTCTAAATAAAATGTTTGAAACGTTAATATTTAAACTAATCTGACTTGTCAGGCTACTCTGGTTTTTAGTAAATCATAATGGCATGATTTATAGATGAAAATCATTTTGGGGCAATGTAGTTACTTGAACTCGTGACCTGGTGATTCCCAGAAGCTTGCCTTAACCGCTCGGGCCTTAGTGGTACAAATGTTGACCAGCCCAGAACTCCACTGAGTTCTCTGCAAGATTCTAGAGGCCCCAAACCGAGGCCCAGCCAGGATTTTACAGCCAACCCGACCACACACTGGCCTATGGTAGTGGCGTTCATACACTTACTCCCTAGTCAGATCGCAATGAAATCATAAAGACGTGATATATCAAGGAGTATAGTCGGGCTGGCTGCAAAATCCTAATTGGGCCACAGTTTGGGGTGTCCAGAACCTCCCAGAGAACTCAGCAGTTCTTGGATGGTCAACTTTTGTACCAGTGGGGCCCAAGCGGTTAAGGCAGGTGACTGGGAATCACCAGGTTCCGAGTTCAAGTCACTACATTGCCTCGAGAGGATTTTCATTTATATGTGTATGTATGTATATTTTACCTAATAGCCATAGTTGCCTATCAAGTCAAATTTTCGTAAATACAGTATTAAGAGAAAATATATATATAAAATTTCTGAAAGGATAGGAGTTTTTAATTATGATATACATGATAATTATTTGTTTAATTTGTCAAAACTAACTTGCAAACTTACCCAACCTATATATGCCAGATATTTCTCAATGCTGTACTTGCTAACATAAGTAAAACTTGGCCAAAGTTAGAAATTCATGATGTCAGTATCATATGTATATAAATAATATTAGGAATATAAATTGTCAAAGAAATATTTGAAAAATATATAAAATTAGTCTTGTATTTGACAAAAGCAGGCCTGAGAAAATAGCCAAGGACTGGGTGGAAGTTGTAAATTATTTGGCATCTCTTGACTGCCGTACTAACATTACTTCTCTTCATTATACTTTTCATCTCTCATACCAGTCTTTTACTCATTAATGTATAATTATCTAAGTGTAGTTACAGGATGAGAGCTATGCTCGTGGTGTCCCGTCTTCCCAGTACTTTTTGTTGTATATCGCTTTGAAACTACTGACGGTTTTTGCCTCCACCACCTTCTCACTTAGATTGTTCGAACCATCTACCACTTCTGTTTGCAAAAGAAAACTTTCTAATAATTTTTTGGCACTTTTGTTTCCTTAACACTTTGATGTTCTGGGTGCGTATGCGTCGCGCTACCCCTGGTGGGTTTGGGCATTCCGCAGAAGCGCTTGGTAATTTTGAAATGTGTACACTCTTCACTTTGGTCACCTCAATTCTTGTCCTAGGTCTTTCATTTTGGTATCATTGTGTTCGCAATAGAATCCTCTACAGGACTAAAGGCATATAAAGTCCAAAAGCCCGGCATACCATCCGCAACAAACAGAGAAAGTGAGAGCGAGTTACCCGGGAGCGCATAAGACCGATAAAATGTGTACACTCTTTTCACTTTGGTTACCTCAATTCTCGTCCTAGGTCTTTCATTTTGGTATCAATGTATTCGCAATAGAATTCCCAACATGAGTATATGCATATAATGTCAAAAACAGCGGTGCGCTCCACCCGCCGACAAGATGAAAGTTACCAGAAAGAGAACGCTGCGCCATCCCAAGGCGCCTCTCATTACAATAAAGAGCGTGGTCATACCGAAATGTGTGTACTCTTTTCAACTTTGTCATCTCAATTCTCATCCTAGGTTTTTCAATTTGGTATCAATTTGGTATAAAAAAGCCAGGCGAGAAAGTGTGTGTGTTACCCGGGAGCACGTAAGAGCAATAAAATGTGTACGCTCTTCACTTTGGACATCTCAGTTCTCATCCTAGGTCTTTGATTTTGGTATCATTGTGTTCGCAATAGAATTCCCTTCAAAAGTATATGCAAATATAAAGTCCAAAAGCCCGGCGTCCAATCCACAGCAAACATCGAACGTGATGCGGCATTACCGCAGTGAGCGCTAATAAAGAGCAATAAAATGGTTATACTGTACTCTTTTCAACTTTGTTACCTCAGTTCTGGTCCTAGGTCTTTCTTTTTGGTATCAGTGTATTTGCAATGAAATTCCTACAGGTGTATATGCATATAATGTCCAAAACTGCGGCGCGCCCCTCCCGAAGCTGCCGCCAATTTGCCGCCACTGACAACACAATGCTGCGTCGTTACCAGACTACCCTCTAGTAAACGGACGATGCAATGCTGATTCGTTACCAAGCCGAAGTGTTAAGTTCCTGGTTTCAGGAATTCCTCTTTATCAATTTGCGATTCCTGTTACTGTTTTGCAAATGGTGGTCATATCTCATCTTTCTTCTATCTTCTAGTAATTACCTACGCATAGTTACAGGATGAGAACTATGCTTGTGGTATCCCATCTTCCTGGCACTCTGTCATATAATGCTTTGAAGTTACTAACAGTTTTGGTTCCACTTAAATGGTTCCAACTGTCTACCACTCTATTTGCAAAAGTGTTTTCTAATATTTCTTCAACACCTTTGTTGAGTTAGTTTAAACCTGTGACCTCTTTTTCTTGAAGTTCCATGTCCTAGGAATTCTTCCCTATCAATGTTGTTGAATCACATTACTATTTTGTACATGTGATCATATTGCCTCTTTTTCTTCCATCTTCTAGTTTTGGCATATTTAATGCCTAAAACCTTTCCTCGTTGTTTTGTTCTGTGGAGAGCCCCTTCGGCTCCCTGAAGCTATACCGGGCTGATGTGTATATGTTAGACCATAGCAACAGTCAATTGATGGAGTTCTATGCCCCACAAGCCAGAACCTAGCCCCCTCAAAGAGGCACGAGGAGCAATGACCCATAGACCATAGACACCCCCATGTAGTTGGATGCAATCAATGTCTGCCATCTACCAGGTCAGGTACCCAGAAAGGTAGGAATCCCCAAACAAACTACAGCTGGTAAAAATTGCTAACTGAAAGCCAAACGAGCAAGCAGAACTCCACAATGAGAAAACAAGCTAACAAGCATGACGTCACTACAGCTGCCGCGCCGCTGTCTGTGCAACTTTCTCCTCCCTGGGAGGGGAAAGAAAGAGGAATCCCAGACCTCCCATGCTGGCTACCCACCCCAATTCTGAGGCTGTTGTGTTGGGTGGCGATCGATCATCTCTGGCTCCAGTCTTTGAGCAGTGCTGTTCTGTGCGGTGTGGTGGTGTGTGAGCCAGGTGTTGTTCCAGAAGTACTGGGGCTGCATGCATCTAGGGTTCCCTTCCCTAGGTGCCCTGTAAATACTGCCCTTGCAGTTTGGGGTTACTTTCCACAAACTGTTTGAGGGCTACCTACTCAGGGTTCTTTTGCTGCTTGGTGATTGCCCGCCCTTGGGGTCAGCTGGGTTTTCTTTCTTACCCCTCTTTGGCCTTGGATAGGAGGTAGCATCGTTGCTGGCTGGGGCACTAGGTACTGTGCAGCTGTCTTATATTATGCATAGTGACCAGTTCTGTTCCTCCTGGAGACGTTGTGCTTTTGTGTGGTCTTTTTCTTTTGTTTTGCCTGGTGGGGGTGTGCCTGGTGTGGCTGTAGGACCACTTGTATAATTTTGGTGGCTCTCTGCTAGGTCCCCGTGATTGCACACGTTGCAGGGGTTCAGCATTTTGTTTGTTTTGTAGTTCTGGGATAACCAATTAGCAGTACCTTGCCTGGGTTTTCCTTAGCAGTCAGCCTAAGGGCCCTGGAAATCCCCGTTGGGGCTCGTTGGTCCAATGGATGCGTCCTCTAAGTCCCATCTTGCTTCGTGCGAGTTTAAAGGTTGCTTTGTCCCCTTGTCTCAGGGTGATACTCACCATCTTTGCCTCTGCCATGCTGCCTGTTGGGTCAATGACACCTTTGACCCTGAGTCCTGCGAGTGGTGTTCCTTGCTTGTACTCCAGTTCACCCAGTCTGCTGATATTGATATTCGGATGCAGGTAGCCTCAGCGTTACATGCGCATTTTAGGTTGCTGCAATGCGCTAAGTTGGTTACCTTTTCGGATGTCCCTCAGCTGCCCCTTATTGGTTAAAGGGACCCTAACTTGGAGGGGGTGTTAGTCGCCTCGACTTTTGGTTTCGTCCACGCCCTCTTGTCCTTCCCCTGCTATGGTTCATCCTGCTTCACCCCCACCCCCTTCCGTCTCCTGGCTCCCAAACGTCAGGGCTTTCTTGATGGCGAGACTCGGGCAGCCTCAGGGACTGTCCCTTCCGAATCGGCAGCGAAGGCATTCAAGCCTGTTCCTTTTGCCGGGGTTTTCAGGTCGTGCTAGCAGGCCCCCCTTCTTCCTTGCTTTCCCGGTGGCTTCTGCCTTTGAAACGAACCCGGGTTCAGTTCCGGGTTCCCTTGGATTCCAAGGTTCCCTTCTTCCGAAGATTTTTGGCTTCCCGCATCCTGTCGAGGGAGGTGCGGGAGGCCCTTGCGGCTTTCCTCTAGCGAGACCCGATTTACGCCTCAATAATGGATCCTTCTTGTTTTGAGTTTGGCTCTTCTTTTCCTTACTCAGTGCGTTACAAGGTGCCGAAGTCTTTCTGGCTGGCAGACTGTTCTTTCTTTTCATTGGGGACATGGCATTCGTTCTGTCGGATCCACATGCTTGAATGGCGGAAGTTGACTACAATCATT